AGCAGAGATCTCCTCAAGAAGAAGAGCATAGTCGGAGGACTCGCTTTACCTGACATTCACACCTACTACAAAGTCACAATGGTCAAAACAGTGAGGTACTGGCAAAATGACAGAGACACAGACCAATGGAAAACAATAGAAAACCCAGAAATAAAACCATCAGCATACAGACAACTGATCTTTGACAAGGGTCCCAAAAGCATCAAGTGGGAGGGCGACGCCCTATTTAACAAGTGGTGCTGGAAATAATGGAAATCCATATGTAGAAAAATGAAACAGGATGTCTACCTCACCCCATGCACAAGAACAAACTCAAGGTGGATCACCGACCTAAAAGTATAACCCCAAACCATCAGGACCATTAGCTTAGGAATGATGAGAATGATGATGGCAACAAATATGCAAATGTGCTTGACATATTATGTATGGACTGTGGTAAGTGTATGAGCCCCCAAAAAATGATTTTTAAAAAACTGCACCTCCTTAATAATATTGTTAGTTTTTCTGTTTCACCATCTAGGTTATACGTTTGTAAACATAAGAGGCATTTGTTTGCCCTGAGCCTTCCATCACACATTCACCCTGTCCTAAAGTAATGGGCAAGTAAACTGGAAATTTCAAAATTAAGCAAATAAAAGTCATGTTTTCTGTATGCCTAAAAAAAATGGTTAAGAAAAAATTCTTAAGGCAAAAAACTCCACCAAACTTTGGAAGAAGAAGAAGAAAAAAGGAACAACAAACAAGGCACATGCTAGGCAAAATGCTGAGCTGGTATGCACACGCCACGTCTAAGAGCCTGCATCTGGAAAACACCTTCAGTCAATATTTAGTTATAGGAAATGATCTTCTTTTCCCAGTGACTTCCTAGCTTAGTCCATTAAGACACCTTGTTACAAGGGCCTCTCTGTCCACATGTAGCTACCCACAGAAGATCCAGGAGTCCCCAACCCGCAGGGTAGCAGCACATCATTTCATTATTTTGTATGATGTCTAGACAGAATTCAGCTAAGAACCGGGATGGATGCTATCTGAATGACCTTGGCCCTAGTTCCCAGGATGTCAAATGGGCACTTAGCAAGCAATCCTGGAATTCAGTCAAAGTCCCTGTCTAGGGAGAAGTCCCACTTGGCTCAGAGATATTCTATATGATTTAAGTGTATTCAAAAGGCTAGGCCTACAGTCCCTAGTGAAATGTCAGCTAAGCTGCTGTATTTGTGGAGGCAATTTAAAACAGTGGTACCAAAACCTGTGTGGTTGTCAGAATGACCTGGGATGAAGTGACATTGCTCAGGTCTTGGCCTAGACCTAAAGACCCTTCCTTTCAAAGTAACTCCCCTCTGGACATGCTACAGACCATTTATTCGGATACCTGAATTAGGTCAGGCTACCAGAAGAGAAGCTGGACATGAATCTTAGTGAAAGGACAGTCAATGTGAGGATTCAAATGCTCTTTTATTTATTTTCAAAGAAGAACTCCAGATGACCTACTGACAGGAGGGAATACTGTTGGTCCCAGTTTGGTCCCTCATAGAATCATCAAACTCCATGCTAACGTTAGACACCAATCATTTACTGAAGGACTCTAGGAAACAGTCTCAAGATTAGGGATGGTTGGCCACATTCCTACTCAATATCACTATTTCAAGGGAGAAATATTTATGATCTGGTGCTAGGTAAACTTGCCATAGACACCACGCATTCTTCATTTATGGTCAAACACCATATAATCTGCCTACAATGCGGTCAAACACCACTGTCACATGCATCCACAAGAACCCACTTTCCAGTCTTGCATTTGATTTTCTCCATTGAATTTAACTCAGTGCTGGAGATTATGAGCCTTCTTTCAATCCCTTCTGGAAGCTGTGAGGCATAAATACAAAACACAAATAGGGTTTGCCTTTCATCCAGGATTGTTTGTTTAAGGTACCAAAAAAGCAACAAACCGAGCTCCCTTTAGAACTGACTCCAAAAAGAGATGCCAATTCCAGAAATAATCGAGAATTAAACCCTGTCCTAAGCACAAAAGCAAATGATCAAAGAAATGCTTAGAAAATAGAAGTTCCTCTAATGTTGTGACCTGGGATGGTGCAGTGTGCTCCAACTGCTCACCACAGTGAATTTCCTCAGTCATTGGAATGATAAAAATACCTAGGTCACTCTCACACCGTTTTTAGAGCTGAAAACTGAAATTACATAAGCCTGTGGTAATAGTAAGAAACAGTCACCCACTTGCCCACTGTCAAATATTTACTTGGGGTGACTCTGAGAGAGAGGCTTTGCATGCCTGGCAGTTCACGACTTTTCACGCATCTCACCTGTCGACTTTTTTTCTGAAATGATTTAAGGACACCTATCCTTCTCTTACTTATAACCAAGGGAAGGAGAATCCACAGCCTTGGAACTCAAAGGAATGTGAGGGGAACATCATAACTGAGGAATCATGCAGCTCAAAAAACTTTGGTGCAGTTTGGCTCCGCTCCCTGTGCACACTGGATGCCTAAGGAGTCTCAGCTGTGTCTTTCTAAGGCGATTCCCTGGGCAGTTGTTCTTTGGTGGAGGGTATCCATTTTTACTATTTTTTCCATGAGCTTAAACACACCTATGGGAAAGTCATTCAAAAGGTACAAAAGGGACTCAAGTCTCTCCTTAGTTCTCAGTCCCTCGAAGGGAAGCTGTCACCCTTAGGCAGAGTCCTGTGGATTCGCTAAAAAAGAGTCTGGCGGGGAACGGGAGTCAGGATCCACAGGGCAAGCCTGGTGCGGACCATGTTGCAGCCGAACATCTTGCTCACTGGTATCCAAGGGCTGGAAAAACCACACTGGGCATCAAGATCAGGACTGAAATACACTCATGTGGGTGAGTTAGCTAAAGAAGGGCAGTTGTATGATGGCTGTGATGAAGAGGGTGGTTGTCCCATTTTAGAGGAAGATAGAGTAGTTGACGAATTAGAAAACCAAATGAAAGAAGGTGGAGTTATTATTGATGACCATGATTGTGAGTTCTTCCCTGCATGCTGATTTCATATAATTTGGGGGCTGAGAACAGATAACAGTGTATTGTACAAAAGACGTGGAACAAGCGTTATGAGAAGAAATGACAAGACAATATTCCGTGTGAGATTTTGCCAGCATCCTATAAGGGAGAAATAGTATATCAGCTATCTAGCAAGAAGCCAGAAGACCTATAGAATAATACAAATCAGATACCAAAATGGATTGAACCATGGATAAAAGATCCTAGCTCTTGATTTTTAAGACTAGCCACGTGATCATCACTCATACTGAGATCTCTCTGCCCATCATAGAAACTGTCCAAATATCAGAAACATTTTCATGCGCAAGTTGTGTTGTAGAACTAGCATGCGGAAAGCATCAAAGTGTTATGCCTGGGCTCTTTTTTTCTACATGAGAAAGCAACACAATTTGAAATATAATGAATATGATGGTATTTAGGCTTGAGGGTATATAATGAATATGACATTATTTAGGCTTGAGAGTAGATTGTCATTGTTCAATGCTTTAACTGTTAAATAAGCTGTTATTTATTCAAGGGTAAATAAATCTAAGTGGACTGAATATCTACTAAATTTATTACAAAAGAAAATTAAGGTGCTCTTTCAAAATAAAACGCATGGCTTAAAATAAAAAATAATAAAAGAAAAAAGAAAGGGACTGGCTATGTACAATTCTGGTTATAAAATATAAACAGGGTTTACAAAGTCTGTGTGCGTGGCTCCCAATCCATGAAAACTGCCTAGAGATATTCTGAAAATAAGGAAATTCTGAGTTATTCAATGTGAGGTGAGGTTGGGACATTATTTTCTAGAAATGTAATCAGGTGTGAGGGCTTAAATGCAAACAAACAAACATACAACAAAAAAAACACAAGATAAAGCAGGCGCAATATTTTCAAAGGAAGGCAACAAAACAAAACAAAACAACCCTGGCCTGCATGATTCTATGAAGAAAACCAACACAGAGCTTCTCATGAAATCCATGTGAAAGTGCCCACAACCCTCTGTGGAGAACAGGCCAGTGGGCTTCTGAGCACCTCTTCCCTCCTGTCCGGAGGACGCACAGGCCTGACGGGGCTCTGCTTCACTGAGGTGGGTTTGTTTACCAGTAGGAATGCTCACCCACCTGGAGTTGCTCAGAAAACACTGCGGAGAGAACTGAGGCACAAGGACTTTAGGAACTTGCCTAAAGAGAAAATCACAGATGACAGACTGGGAGCCCAGGGTTCAATAGCTGCATTTGAACCACTTCTGGCTCCCCAAGACTACGGGGGTCAGAGCAGAATGGCCCCAGAAGGGGGGAGGGGCCCCTGGGTGGCATTTGTTCGGGAACGTATCTCCTGGCCTTGCTCCTGCTGCACTGCTGAGTGGGTTTAAAAGCGACAGCCTCAGTGTATGAAATCCAGGGTAGGTATGACGAGAGACATAGCTGGATTAATGACTTACTAAAGATATGGGAAGGGAAGCTGGAGGGAAAAAGAAAGCCAATAATGAATATAAGAAGGAAGAAAATATTCTAGGATGGATTGTAGTGATGAGTATGCAACTATTTTTTATATGATTGCATTATGGAAATACATGATATGTGAATTAGATGTCCATAAAACTGCTTGTTTACATCGGACCAACAGACTTGCTCAACATGTCTTAAATTAGTAAAAAACAGTGTCTGCAAAGTCCAATAAAGCAAAGCGCAATAAAAGGATGGACGGACACACACACACACACACACACACACAACTACAGAAGCCTGCCCATTTTTAAAAGGCTATTTTGTAAAAAGTGTTTGCCATTCAAAACACAGAGCCAGGCTGCTCTGGTTTGTTGAAAGGGCAGAAACACACGCTTTCCCCATTCGAGTTTCCAACATGGCTGAAGGCCCCTGCAGAACTCCTCACAAGCAGGACGAGTCTGGCGGACACCAGGCACCCTCAGAAACCCCGGGGTCTTGTGAATTTGGACAGGACAAAGCAAACTTGGTTACCTGTCTCCGAATCGGCACGCTCCGGTTTTACTGTAGAATGGACAATAGGCCCGGTCTTTCTCCATTATTCTTACATCCAAGGGTGGCTCTGGGTTTTGCCATGTGGCACCATTTTCCAACTGTTAAAATAACCAGGACTTTACTTATGAGACGTGTAAAAATCCACGGCAGGGAGAAAAACAAGTCAATGTCTAAGAGCATATTCAAGTGATTCATTTAAGAACAGATGATACACTTTTAAGTTGCAACATGCAATCGAGCCTGAACAAACAAGTGGCCGGACACATGCATTTCTCAAGGTGCTCCTCTGTCCCTCTGTTCGCCTGCTGGGGCTAGCTCTACGTGGTGCTGCTTACAGCACTGTCTGGAATGCAGACCAGCACAGCCCCAGGGGTGCTTCTGTCCACCAGCGAACGGGGGTCCTTAGGGTAGAAAGAGCAGAGCCTCACAAGTGATTACAGCTATCCATCAAGGCTCAAAACCGCCTAGCCAATAAAAGTAGCACCACATGAACGAGTGCTGGTAAAGAACCAGTCCTGGGTCTGACTGAAAGGCATGGGGCATACCTCATTTTCCGCCTGATCCAGCATCTTCTGCACAGCTTCCTAGAAATGGGGCAAACAAACACAGGAGCAATGATAATGCCCTCACGCCGTTAAAAATCTCATGCGGGCTGAGGGAGGGACAGAACTACCGCATGCACAAAAGGCTTTCTATTCGCACTGGCTTCCTGAGCACGCATCTTCTGAAATGTTTTCAAAAGACAGTGTCTTTCAACAGCAAATTGAATTGGTCACACTGATTAACGCTTAAAAAGTATATTCCGTGGATGGTCCCAGTATTTAGAATATTATGAGCATAGAATACCTCGTTCGAATTTTTGAGCTGAGGATGAAGGAGTAGGGTCCTTATAATCTGTGTGAAATGTCCGACTCGTTCAGAAGCTAGAGGAAGTCTGGCAATACGACTGTAAATTTCTAGCTAAATGGCCTTGTAAGAAGTTCTAAGAGTCCATCGGTCGTGTCACCAGGGTTGGCCACCTCCCTTGTCAAACCATAGGAAATTCTTGCTCACTTAAAATCATGCAATAATATGTGCTAACTTCAGTTGTAAACGGTTTAAAGCTAACATTTAAAGCCTATATGAATGCCAACGACAAAATTGTTTTGTAAAATCTACATTGAATTCTTTCTTGGTAAATTTAATGACATATAATTGTAATATGACATCTTAACTTAGTAACTGAGTAGAAGCCTTTAGTGATTTTTTCCCTTCTTTGCCCTTTTGGTACCCCATTCTCAAAGCAGTCATTATTACTTCATAAATACTACTTACCGTGATACTGTGGCTAAGACGCCAGAAAACTGGACAAAATCAATGATTGGAAAAACATCACGAAGAACCTAGACGAAACCCCCTGAATCCAAGAGTCAGTGTGCTTGGGTAATAATGATGCACTAGAAGGTTCGAAAAGTCAATGAGCATGACCTTGCTGGTGTACTGACACCTGTAAGTTGGGCTTACGAACTCTATTTTAGTCGTTGTAACTAATTTCTGCTGAAACACTGCCCACACATTTTGCGGTCACTGTGCGGGTAACCACCTTCGCTGGCAGTGTCACCCCAGGCAGCCCCTAGTGATGCTCCTGGATTCGATTTCATTTTCTCTGCTTCTCCAGATCTCAGTAGATTGACTTTGATATCAAAGTACTACAAAGCCTTAGCTTTCTCCTGCTGCACCAAAGGCCTCAGTTGAAGACCCTTCAACTGCGAAAATGGGAATGGACTCCTCTATACGAATATGGCAAGCTCCACACCGCTCTCTTGCCCCTGGCCCCTGAAAGCCTCGCGTCACAGGAGAAAGTATGTCGTGTCAGGCTCCTTCGGTAAAAATGACAGCCGTGCAAAGCCTTGGGGGCAGTTCCACTCTGTCGCAGGGCAATAGGCGTGTTTGGTTTTGTGGAAAGCCCAGTGTAAGCTGGCCTCACTTGGAAAGCAGGACTCAAATGTGAGTGTCTAACATTTGCATTGGAAGTAGCGGAAGGCCTGAGACACAAAAAGTAAAAGCCACGGGGGCTGCTTCTGCCCCATCAGGACTAGGATATAATCAAATGTATCTGATCCCTTAAATGGTTACCCATCACCCTGGGGTCCACTCCAACTCATTGCAACCCTATAGGACACAGCGGAAGAACCCCCCATCCCCACCCCCAGGGTTTCCAAAGCTATAATCAATATGGAAGCAGACAGCCACACGCTTTCATTTACCGTATATACTCATGTATAAGCCGAGTTTCTCAGCACATTTTCTATGCAGTTTTTGTGGTAAAATCAGGTGCCTCGGCTGATATTCAGGTCGGCTTATACTCGAGTATATAAGGTACATATTGTCTACTTTGCTAGAATGGCAGGGCTGAGCATCTGCAAGAGGGACTCCAGGCAGCCTAAAGCCTAATGTAGTTACTCTCTGGCCCTTGAGAGAAAAAAAGGTCGCCAGCCCCCTGGTCTAAAGGGCAGGCTGAGTAACCAAAGAAAACCCATCACTTTAGGCCGTCTGGCCTTACAGAGCCCAAGGACAGCTGCATAAGAAGCTCCCATGTGTCAATACTAAAAATCAGGCTCTTTCTATAGAAACCAGGAAGCAACAACCAAACGCAAAAACAAAACAAAACAAAAAACCACGCGAAAATGCCCCACTCTCGCCTGCCTCCGGCTTAGTCTTCAGACCACCCTGAACCCCAGGTGGAGCCAAAAGGAGCACAATTACCTCTTTTTGGCGCTTCTCCTGCAGCTTCTGCTCCTCCTCCTCCCGCTCTTTCCTCTGCTGCTCTTCCCATTCTTCCTTTAGCTTCCGCTTTCAGGGAAAAGGAGAAAGACAAAGGAATGTCAGTTGTTGTTTTTTCTCCCCAGACCAGCTTTGTGAGAAAAAAAAACCAAAAACACAAAAAACCAGAAAACATTGAACATGGGGGTAAATACATGAAAATAAAAAGGTAACACTTGGTCAGATGGACAATGGCTGTTTTTGCAAGTGTAAGATGGCATGCCTTTCTGGATACAGGCAATGAAACAGCTCAGCCGGTTTCTGTTTCTGTGTCAAAGTCAGTGCGACCATCGTTGCAATTGAATCTCTTCCCACATCTTGTCCTGACTCTCAGCTACTCTGCACCCCGACCCCACTGATGCGCTCCGGTCTCTCCGCAGGAGCCTATTTTATACTTAGCATCTTGTTTCACCCACCCTGGGTTTCCAGGTTGCAACACGCATTAGGACTTCATTTTCCTTTCTGGCTGAGAAATATTTCAGAAACACAAGGTTGGCTCTGAGTCCCATCGACTTGGTGGCAGGGTACTTTTTCTTTTTCAAGGAACACACCAGGAGCCCTGGTGGTGAGGTGGGTTACATGTTGGGCTACTAACCCCAAGGTCAGCACTTCAAAACCAGTGGCACCTTGGGAGAAAGATGACGCATTCTACTGCTGAAAAGAGCTACTTGTCTCGAAAACCCACAAGGGCAGTTCTACCGTGACCCAGATTGTTGCTATGAATCAGAATCGACTGATGGTGGGGAGTGAGAGGTTTAAGGAACATATGCTATTTATCCAGCCATCTGTTGATGGGCATTTAGGCTGTCGCCACTTTTCAGCTGCTGGGAATAGTGCTGTCGCGGGCATGGCTGGACACCTATCTCTTTGCATGCCTGCTTTCAGGTCTTTGGGGGTAGCCACCTGAAGTTGAAGAGGAAAATTAATCACAGGCCTTTTACTTGAAGGTTTTTCTTATCCACAAAACCAAAGAGTCTCCATACAACACCTGCCAGAACCGACTCTGTATATTTGTCTCACCTTGACAGAAAAGCACAGGGCACCACTACCCTTAACTTCAATCTCAAAAGCCTCCTAGCTGCGGAGGGAGATGGCAAAGCCACTATCAGCAAGCCCGACCAGAGGTCACCTGCTCTGAACAGGGCAGTGGGGTTCAATCAATCACATAAAGATGCACCCATGGTTGATCTTCTATACTTCTCTCTCTCCTCTTCATCAAAAGGCCTGTTTGCAGAGCCATCTGCTTTTACTGGAAGCAAAAGGGCCTCCTTAAAAGATGATATTAATGCGGGTGAAGGGGCTAGTAGTATTCTATAAGAGGAAGGAAAAAAAACAATGGGAGGGGGCAGGACAAGCTATTCCAGGGCTTGATAAGCAGTGTACACTCTTGATTACAAAACTGAAGATCTTGAGGGAGAGGGGAGTAGGGAGGGAGGGGGAAAATGAGGAGCTGATGCCAGGGGCTCAAGTGGAGGGCGGATATTTTGAGAATGGTGAGGGCAAGAAATGCACAAATGTGCTTGACACAATGGATGGATGGATGGATTGTGACAGGCGTTGTGCGAGCCCCCAATAAAATGATTTTTTTAAAAAAGAGCTGTACGAGCCCCCAGTGAAATGATTTATAAAAAAAACAAACAAAATACCAAAACAAAACTGAAGACCTGAAATATATGCCCCCACCTAATTCACAATAAACAATGACTGAGCAGCTCAGAGTAAACCTTATGGTCCTATTTCAGTGAGGTTTAAATTGTTTTTACACAAGGAAGAGAATTGCTGAGTCATAAGCACTTTTTGAGGACCCGAGAAACAGCTGAAGGGTCCAGGTGTCTCCCCACCCTTGCCTGCTGTTTGTCTGGTCACAGCCAGCTTCGTCAGAGTGAAGTGGGGTGCCCTGACACGTTTGATTTGCATTTCCCCAGTGAAAGGTGCCTACCTGGCATTCCTATTGTAATTTTACTGGAATAATGCGTACTGTTTCCATCTGTTGGTGGATAATATGGATGCTCACCATATGTTGACGGTTATGGTGGCGGAGGCGGGGTGGTTATAACAGCAGCAACAGCAACAACAACAAAAATTAGCGGTGTACTTATAAAAATACCTCACAGGAGGAGAGCCTGCTTTGGAAAAAGTGCTGCCTCTGGGTTATCTGCATAAAAATCTGGTTTATCTTCTTAGGTGAAATGTCTAATCAAGTCTTTTGACTTTTTTTTCTTTTTTAAACAGCTTTATATTATATAGTTGGTTCAGAAAAATGGTTTAGAAGGTGCGTCTGGCTCGTCTAATACTATTACGGGGCATCCCTGCGGGGCACTGTTACTGTGGACGGGCCAAAGCGGAGCTCCTGTACCCCATGGCTCACAAACGTCCGGGGGCTGACGGTTGTGGCTAGCTGCAAAGGAGGTGACTCCGACCCTTGACCTTTGCCTAAGGTGACCAGACGTCTCGCTTCTGGCGGGACAGTCCTGATTTTTAACAATTTTTCCTGCATCCTGCGGCGTTTTAAAAAAGTTCTGATTTTTGGAAAGAATGCACGACAAGGTAGGGTATACGGTTTTCGGCTGCCATGTGGCTATTTCGCCAGGACATGAGTTTTATCAATGGTGTCCTGCTTTACCAATATTAAAATCTGGTCACCTTACCTTTGCCCCTTTTTGAACCGGACTGATGGTCTGTTTAGTACCATCATTACGATTCTAATAAGGAAACAGCCCTGCGGGCGCTGAGATTCACTTATTTGGGGTGAATGAATGGATTCCATTCTTCCAGTACCTCTAGTTCTTCCTGCCGTCTCCGGGCAGCCTCTTCCTTTTCTTTCTTTATTCGGAATTCTTCTTGGGCCTTCCGCTCTCTCAGCAACCACTCCTCATGTAACTTCTGCCTATGAACACAGAAAGAGGCCGTTCATCCAGAGCAGTCAGTATGCACACGATAGCCAAGGGACATGTCTGAAGGAGTACGACATCCTGAGAGGGTTTTGCCCACACAACACTGAGGTGCGAGTAAGAAGGTGACAGCAGAGATCTCAGAAAAGCCACTGTCTTCCTAGCAGTTAGCAGCCTGAAAGCACTAAGTGCCTCCATGCTTCCCGTGCCTTTTCACATGAATAAGTGGCCCGCAGTCACAGTGATTGTTCAGATGCCAACAACGTATGCAGCCAGTCTCAAAGCAATAGCCAGTTTGCCCCACTCAGCACATCATCGACGCAGGTTAGAAGCAGTGGTCTCTGGACTGCGGCACAAGACAGCCTGGCCTCTTCGGCCGGGCATCTTTGGATGATACCCCACGTGGTTCAGAGACTCGCGTTTTTTGTCCTGCAGCTCCTGTGCAGTACGAGTGGTCAAAGTGCTTGACTGTTAACCAAGTGGTTGGGGCCTTGATTCCACCTAGAGGCACGTCAGAAGAAAGGCCTGGTGGATCTACTTCCTCAAAAAAAAAGTCAGCCGCTGAACCCCTGTAGAGCTCAGTTCAACTCAGACATGCACAGGGTGGCCAGGAGTCAGAATCAACTCAATAGCAACTGGCAGGTACACGGATGGTGTGCCTGCAGATGCCAAAACTGCTGAGAGGAGGGCCCTGGAGCCACCGTGTGATCCTATCTGCTCAAATGAAGGGCCCTACCAGCTTTAAGGGTCAGAAGCTAGAGAAGTGTATCAGCAGGTGTCTTTTTTGAAGACAACCAGTAGAGAGAGTAATGTTACTAAACTGGTCAAAAGCAAAGCGGAAACCTGGTGGGGAACCGTTATGCCCTCGCTTGCCTGCTAACCAAAAGATTAGCGATTGAATCCCATGCATGCCACACACCCCCACCCCCAGCCCAGGGGCCCCACAGGAGTCAGACATAGTGATCTGCTCCTGTCAAGATGCCAGGCCAGAAAACCCCATGAGGCTCTGTCCCGTGGGGTCACTCTGTGTTGGAATCTATTGAGAGCATCCACCAGCACCATCGCTACCACCACCATCAACGTCTCTAAAATGGCAGGCGTTTCGGATAGTCAGTCACATAGGAAGCTTTGAACGTCAAGATGGTATGCCAATCAGGTGTTCAAAACCGAGGCTGCATTTTCTTACTGAATCTGAAAATGGGAAATAAAGTCTACACATTGCTTTAAATTACTTTAGGAACACTAGAAATTAAATAGGGCAAACAGCTACGGTGTGGGACAGGGGGCTTTCTGTACCTGTACGCAGGGGTCCTCAAACTACGGCCCATGGGCCACATGCGGCCCACCGAGAACATTGATCCGGCCCGCCGGGTGTTTTTGCCCGTTTTGTTTTTCACTTTAAAATAAGATATGTGCAGTGTGCACAGGAATTTGTTCATAGTTTTTTTTTAAACTATAGTCCGGCCCTCCAACAGGTCTGAGGGACAGTGAACAGGCCCCCTGTTTAAAAAGTTTGAGGACCACTGCTGTATGGAGTTACAGTCTCAGAAACTCACAGGGGCAGCTCAACCCTATCCTATCGGGTCGCTATGAGTTGGCATGCACTGGATGGCAGTGAGTTTGATTTTTACAGTTACGTCCAACCTGGAAGACCGAAACAAAATGCTAAACAACTGCTAAAGGTCAGTGGTTCAAACCCATTTAGCTGCTGCTCCACAGGAGAAAGATGATACTCTCCCATAAAAATGGACCATCTAGGAACCCTTTGGAGGGTCACTATGAGTTGGAATCGGCTTGATGGCAGTGGGTCTGGTTCGGGAAAATACATTCAACTCGATTCCAGAACAGCACTTTTTGCCAAGGGCAAAGCTGGGTTATCGCATGTTACATTCATGCCCAATAGATCCTTCGGTGTGCACAACTCCGAGCTACCAATCCTTGAGGGCCCGTGATTGTACATAAACTGAACTCAAATAGTAAAGATGCGTGATCACAAACACGTAAGACACACCAAGCTTTACAGCTGCGTAGCATGAACACTCTCTACATCAGCTTTAAAATCGCATGTGCCGTCACACGGGATCCTCACATAATCCATTCTCCTATTGTCTGGCAGCAACATGTCACAGGAGTATGCCACTAGTAGAGGAAGAAAGGATGGGGAAAAAGAAGACAGAGCTCTGGGCGTGGCGACTGAAAGGCAGCCTTTCCAGTACTCAGCAACACATCGACATTGCTTTTCTACTTTCTGCCATCTCTAGTAACACACAACCAGAGCTAGGCCTGCAGCACATGCTGTGATTGTTGCCCTTCCGGCGGGGCGGGGGTGCTACCATGACTGCTTTTGCAGATAAGGGAGTGAAAGTGGAGGGAGATTACGAACTGTAGGCGGAGAGGGAGTAGTAGAGGCAGGATGGGCACGTGGAGCTGGCTGCCTCCAGCTCCGTGCTCTCCCACTCTAATCACCTTCAAACACACCAACTGGAAGTGAGCACACTCTTATCATCATCTTGGCATGGGGGAGGCATTTTTAAGTCAGACAGTAAGGCCAGATTGCAGAGCGAGACGTGACTACTACCTGGTCATCAAGTTGCGGTCAATGATGCCACCGAGCAACTGAGGACTGATAACAAAGGTGACAAACACACAGTGCAGTGCACTCAGGCTAATATCTGCAATCCCTAATATCTTTGATAACGTCTCTTACAAAGCCAGGAAAACTAAGGTTCAGCGTGCAGGATTTAGCATGTTAGATACAACTTGTAACATTTACATAAAAGATATTCACGCTAAGTAAACAATGCACAGTCCTAACAATGAAACCGAATCCTTCCCCAAAGGAGCTTTACGATGGTGGCCAGTGTGGTGGGTGCAGGCCAGCCAACTGCGAGAATGAGCAGGGCAACTTAAAAGGAAATACAAGTTCACCTGCTCTTTGCACCATTTAATCTACAGCCACAAACTATTAGAACTGGACCGACCGTCCATCGACAGGGAACTACAAAGGATGCAGGAAGAAGAAATTAAGAATCGAGAGCATATTATGCTCCAGCTATACAACGGAGCCTACTTGGGATACTAAGGTGGCTGAATGACCTCTCTGCCGTCAACGACGCTGACATATACATCATGCTAGCCAAACACACGCGCGCGCGCGCGCACACACACACACACACACACACACACACAAAATAGGTTCACAGTAAACTGAGTTACAGTATGAATCTGTAGTAATCCAGCTTAGCATGAAGAACTTCATTTTGTTTGAAACTGCTTTCAACCCCCCACTAGCAGCTAGCTGCCCCTTCCCCCTTTCTTCCTCTCCCTGATCTCTTCTCAATGCCTCCAGACCCCTCCAGACCAATATCCTGCTGACCCAATTAGCAAGAAATGTGATCCATCTTGCCACAGCTTGATGTACTACCTGCTGCTGGTCCTCCCAGCCCCTCCTGGCATCCTGCTTGTCCTATAAGCAAAGAATGCAACTGTTGCGTCAGCCAGCCCTCAGTCATCAACTATAAAAAGCCTTTCCTTTCTTTGTTTGGGGTGGAGAGCTTTCCAGGCTCGAGCCCTCTCTCCGCCCAGCTGTTAAATAAAGGCTTATTATTATTATGAAATGGCACGAGTAGGTACAAAAACCCCATCTGAAAAATAGGCTCTTACTTCCTGAACAAGAGCTGTTTTCTGGCTGCTGGAGCTATTGAAGTCCTTTCCCTCTCTTATGCTGCTTAACAGCTTGGGTATTTTTTTTTTGGTGGAAACACTGACAAATCACCAAAACACTGTAAGAGTGCATGGGTTACAAAAAAGAGAGCGACACTGAAGCCCATCAGTTTTAGCCTGTCAGCTCTCTTTAAGACCCACTGTCATCAAGTCCATTCCGACTCACAGCGACTACACACAATAGAGTAGAAATGCCCCATGGGTTACCAAGACTGCAACTCTTTATGAGAGTAGAAAGCCCAGTCTTGGTCCCGTACAGCGGCTGGTGGTTATGAACTGCTGACCTTGTGGTTAGCAGTGCAATGTGTAACCCACTATACCACCAGGGCTCAGCTAGTGGTACAAACATCCTAACTCAGGTATTTCATAAAACCGTGTTTTGTACAGTGACACTGGAGAGAGAGCCAGAACTCGACTGGGTGGCCTCCTTTGGCTCCCCCCCAACCCCCGCCCCCGGGTCTTGCAAGTTTCTCGCCTCTGCCCAGGTTCGGTCTGGCCACCTTTCTAGAGCTCTGTTAGTGGGCAAGATCCGAGGTTTCCTTCTCTGTCGGCTCCTGGTCTCCCACCTGTGCCCTGGCCTGATATGGAACAGCTGGCAACTGCCGCAGAGCCCAGTTGATGCTGACCTCTCTGTCTCCAACAACTTCTGGTCCTCTGGGTGGCATTCTTCAGATAAAGCCTCCGCATCCGGCTCCTCCAGTGAGAGTCCTGGAGGAATTGAAATGTTTTATTATACTCACTATGCACTACAAGACCTGGATCAGGCAGGCAGGCAGGCAGGCAGAGAAATACGTGCAATCTTTCATCTACATGCAATGGGAGGAACTGGTGTTTCAAACTGTCTCATAATAAAGACTCCAACTGGCCACATCTGGAGCACCTGGTGCATCAGCAGGACCTGTATCCTAATGGCTAACACCTGAGCCAAACAAACCAATCCAGGGTTCCAGAGTGAGCCTCAAAAGGGGAAGGGGGTGAAGGAAGGAACAGTCTTTGCAGAAGATTGGCAACGAAAATGCTTAGGCAAAATTAGGAACATTTTCATTTCTGCAAGCCCCCACTGTAAAAAACTCATTTAGACAAAGATGCTGAAAGTGGTGCATAAAAGCTTGGTGGTGAGAAAATATTTACCCTCATCCCAGAGCCCCCCTACAAGGTTATTAACCCAGGGGGAACGCAGCTTTATTTGAACAGTTTTACTCATATATCATTCACATATCATACAATTCAATGGTTAAAACACATGAAAGAGAGCTGTGGAAGCATCGCCACAATTTTAGAACATTTTCTTCTTTCTTTTTTTTAAAAAAAACATTTTATTAGGGGCTCATACAACTGTTATCCCAATCCATACACACATCAATTGTATAAAGCGCATTTGTACATCATTCTCAAAACATTTTCTCTCCACTTAAACCCCCGACATTAGGTCCTCATTTTTCCCCTCCCACCCCGCTCCCTCCTCCCTCGTGAGCCCTTGATAACGTTTATAAATGGGTATTTTGTCATATCTTGCCCTGTCCGACGTCTCCCTTCACCCACTTTTCAGTTGTCTGTCCCCCAGGGAGGAGGTCACACACAGTTCCTTGTAATCGGTTCCCTCTTTCCTACCCATTCTCCCTTTACCCTCCCTGTTTCGCCACTCATACCACTGGTCCTATAGGGCTCATCTGCCCTGGATTCCCTGTATTTTCAGTTCCTATCTGTACCAGTGTACATCCTCTGGTCTAGCCAGACTTGCAAGGTCGAATTCGAGTCATGGTAGTGGGAGCGGGGAGGAAACATTTAGGAACTAGAGGACAGTTGTATTTCTCATCGTTGTTACATCGCACCCTGACTGGCGCCCCCTCTGCAAGGGGATCTCCAGTGGCCTACTAATGGGCTTTGGATCTCCACTCCGCATTCCCCCCATCATGCACTATGGTAAGATTTTTTGTTCTGATGATGCCTTATACCTGATCCCTCATTTTCTTCTTTCTTGTGCTTCATTATTAAAAGCTTCCCATTTTCCCTCAGCTTCCCCTCCCAGAACCCTAAGAAACTATTTTTAAAAATATCATTTTATTGGGGGCTCATACAACTCTTATCACAATCCATACATACATCCATTGTCTCAAGTACACTTGTACATATGTTGCCATCATCATTTTCAAAGGATTTCCAAACCACTTGAGCCCTTGGTAACAGTTCCTCCTGTTTTTCCCCTTCCCTCCCTCCCTCCCTCCCTCCCTCGTGAGCCTGTGATAATTTACAAATTATTATTTTTTCCATGTCTTGCACTGTCTGATGTCTCCCCCCAAACCCTTGTTTGTTGTCCATCCCCCTGGGAGGGAGTCATAGGTAGGTCATTGTGATCAGTTTCCTTTTTCTCCCCCCACCTTCCCCTAACCCTCCTGGTCAATATTGGTCCCAAGGAGTTTATCTGTCCTGGATTTCCTGTGCTTCCAGCTCCTAAGAAACTATTAATCTACTTACTGTCTCTACAGATTCACCTATCCTGGATTTCATATAAAGAAAAACATACAAAAACCAAAATTAATAACAACAGAGAGAAACCTCAATTGAAAAGAAAGCAGAACATAAGAAAAACTAGAACAAATTTCCAATGGGTCCACAGAGAACAAATAAGGCGTTACATGTTAACCTAACTACATCTGCATTAGTCCACTTTCCAAGGCACTCTGTCTCTATTCACATCCTTGGTCAGCGGGCAGAGGGGATTCACTGGAGGCTTAATCCATGTGGGGACTCTGCAAATGGATTTTGGGCTTTCAATGTCACTCATAGTCTTTTGCCAAAGAGGTGCTCAGAATTTAAGCTCTAATATTGTTCCCTCCTCCAGTCTTAGATTTTACTATTTACAAATCTTGGATCACACAGGCTGGTGTGCTTCTTCCATGTAGACATAGCTGACAGTTCACTGATTAACTGGCTGTTGGCTTTAAGACAAGTCTTTAAGACCCCCGATGCTATTCAGAAAGCACCTTTCCAATGCTGCGCTTTGGTGGGTAATGTCTTAACAACTTGGCCTCACTCACAGAGGTACAGCCTGATATGGTAACCTACCTGGGCTACAGCGCCTGCTCTTTAGTATTTTGCCACCAAGTGTCCCCAGAAGCAAATCATGAGCAAACAATCAGACAAAGCCAGAATGGGGAACATTCTACAAAGTAAGGGGCTTGAGTTTATAAAAAGAATTGATTCAGATTTGGAGAAGTTGTAACATGGTCCATATATCAGTGTTCACTGAGTTAGGTACAAGTCTGGCATTGTGGTACTGTAGGAGGGTGTCCTTATTCTTTGGAGGTGCAAAAGGGAGGACTTAGGGGTGAAGCCTGGGATCTCTGCCACTGACTCCAAAACTGTTCAAGGGCCTGTCTATTTATCTAAAGAGAACGTAGGGCACAGTGTTGACACTCAGTCAATCTCGGGAAGGAGCCAGGGGTGCTTACTGTTTTATTGTCTCCACCTTCTGTCATCATGTACACAATGAAAACATGGGAAACCCATTTAGACCAGTAAAAATGCCTATCCCCTCCAATTTAAAAACAGCAAATTTGAGAGAGAGGGTGGGGGAAGGGAAAAAAGGCAATGTAAGTGGAAATGGAGAGAGGGGGGAAAAGGGAAACGATCTTACACGGAAATAAAACAGAAGCTCTCAGGCTTAGTTGTCTGGTACATACACTGAGGACAAGCCTAAGCAAAGTCTCATGCAGTCCTGGATGTTTGAAATCATTTACTTTCCTTAAACCAGTAAGCTATTATTTCAACATCTGACATTAAAACAGGCAACAACCAAAAAACTACGCTAAGTCTTAAGGCACACAATGATCCCAATGCCTAACTGGGGGCCCTCTCTCAGAACCTGGCCCAGAGGACGCATCCAATTTATCCAGTCCAGGTCTGCCTGCAGATCAAGGGCCCTGCTGGTGCCAACCGTTAGTACTTGACTACTGACCGAAAGCATGGAGGTTCAAATCCCACAGCTCTGGGGGGAAAGGCGGACCATGCAGTGATACTGCTGCCACTGTTGCGAGTGTACAGTCACGCTCAGCCTCCTTTTCTGAGTTGTTTCTTCCTCATGAACATAAACCCACTGCCCCCTTAAGCTTCCCATCTAATCACTTTCAAATTGCTGTTACCCATTTGATCACATAGAGACCGTTCTTGAAAGAAAGACTGCTCTTCAGAGGTCTGAAGAATTAAAGTCAACAGGGGCAAAGACTGTTATATACACAATCCTGCAATCATGGTGACCGACGAGCAGATGCTTAATAGAGTCACGCATAGTGTGAGAGGGGAAGTGGGCATAAACCCACAAAGATACACAGAGATCTGGTAGAGGACATGTTTCTATGCATTTACCTTTACTGCAAATATATCACTATCACCATCACTACCACATCCTGCCAGAGAGTGGATTCGTACTCATAGCCACCCTAGAGAATAGAGCAGAACTGCTTCCTAAAGTTTCTGATACTGAAAAGCCTTGCAGGAGAAGGGAGCCTCTTTTTTTCCCCCTAGAAGGGGCTGGTGGGTTTGAACTGCCAACTTTGGGTCACAGTTGCACTACCAGGCAACAATATAAACACTCTAAACTCCAAAGAGCCAAGGCATAGCAGTCAGTATTACTGATGCTCTTGGCTTCTGGCTCCCATCACCTGGAAGATGACATTACATACATTTGAATTTTACGGTAGGTGCCCTGTCAGTTGTATAAGAGCCAAGTTATGAGTTCCAGAAGTCATTTTCTGCTTGTACATATACGAATAGCATGATAATCACTAGGGATGCGGACATGACTCAAGTTTGAAAAAACTTGCAAAATGTCGCTTTATAAACCTCCGATTGCACAATGAAACACACCTGCAGGAAATACGCAGCGGTGCTAGGTCGGTGCTAGCTGTGACTCCGGATGGTGGGGCTATGAAGTTAGATACCTTATAACACACTTCCACTCAAGAGGGCTTCCTCTTCCCTCTTCTTAGTGGGTCTACCCTAACTTTACGGGGGGGAGCATCTTCAGATGCTTCTTTCTGACACCGAGGCTTGAGACCCGGTGGGTGCCAGGTTACGCCCACAGACAGCAAACGCGGCCCGGGAGTCCTTTACCTGCGTCTCTCCGTCGCGCGAGCTCCTGCCGGCGCTTCTTTCGCTTCTCCTTCTTCAGGGCGGCCCTGTACTTTCTGTGGCTGCAACACGAGACACAGAGCCGGTCAGTGGCCGCAGCAGCGGCAGTGGTCCCCGAGCAGCCGCAGGACACGGACGGGAAACGGCTCGAGGGATCGGGAGCAAAACCTGGCTTCCCCACGTGTTCCAGGCAGCGCACTCGGCCATCGGCAAGTCCTTTCCGTCCCGCCACCTGTTCCCCTCCGTACCTTCCACTGCCCCCGGACGCCCCTGACAGCTCGGGGAGCAAGTGCAGCAGCGGCCCGCTCATTGGGAGCAGCTCGGTGCCTTCTCGCTCGCTCACTCTTCCGGCGCGGCCTGGGCCCGCTTCATCCCTCACCTCGTCGGCGACTACCCACTCACGACAGGCTACTCCGGCCCCGGGCGAAACACTGGCCCCGCGGGCCCCGCCATGTTCTCGGCGCGCTCCCAGGCCAGGCGCCGGGCCGGAAGAGGCGGGCTCAAGGCCGGGAGCGGCCGCGCGCGCGCTGACGCAAGTGGGGCTCGGCCCCCGGAGCGCGCCGCCGCCCGGGAGAGACCAAAGCCTGCGGGGAGACCCCCTGCGGCAGCTCGTCTTCCACCGCGCTGCGCTCGCACACTTCGCCGTCCCGAAACGTCCCCTGGGACCCTTCGTCCACCCTGGAGGTGATGCTCGTCTCAGCGCTTCCCCAGTGCTTTACGATCGCTTCTCCCCACGCCCGAGGTGGTAAAGGTGACACCTCTCCGCCTCCACTTCCCTTGGTCCTCTCATCCATTCACAGAGCCTGCTTCCACGCCGCGTGGCCGCCCTTTTGGTACACAACACCTCACCTGCTCTAGGGCCCGCCCCTTCGCGGCTCCACCTATCAGGGCCTCAGGCAGAGCCCAGACTCCGCCCCCTACCCTTCCCACGCGCGCGTTTAGGATGCGAATTTCTCTCCTGGGATGGCAAAGGGGTGACCTCAGGTGCCGAGGAGGCTACTGGCCTGGGCGGGAAAAGGCTCAGTGAAGAGCTGCTAGATGGTCCGCGCAAGGAGGGCGTCCATCTGGCGATTCCAGGCGAGCTGTCTGAGGATGCCTAAGTTTGTTTTTTTACTTTAGGTAGCGAAAACTGGGAATGGAATATAGCTCATCAGCTTAAGCCAGTGGTTCTCAACCTTCCTAATGCCGCGACCCTTTCATACAGTTCCTCATGTTGTGGTGACCCCCAACCATAACATTATTTTCCTTGCTACTTCATCACTGTCATTTTGCTACTGCTATGAATCGTCATGTAAATAAATGTCTGAGATGCAGGATGTATTTTCATTGTTACAAATTGAACATAATCAAAGTGTAGTGATTAATCACAAAACAGCGTGTCATTATATATTGTGAAATATTTATTTCTAATTATAAATGAAATTTTGTCTTGAAGCATGGTGTAGCATGGGTAACTCTTCACGCCAGGTACTCATATGTGGGCGTATCTGCATGTGGGCGGACCCGCCTGGAGACAGAGGTGTCTCGGTTCCTAAGACCGTTGGCAATATGTGTTTTACGATGGTTTTAGGCAAAACCACTGTGAAAGGGTCGTTCAACCCCCAAAGGGGTGGCAACCCACAGGTTGAGAATCTGCCTTAAGCCAAAACACTGGCAGGGAAGACTGGAAGAATCTGCCGAATCTGCCGGGTTCAGGAAGGATTTTGGCAATCGATTGGAAAGCTGGTGGAAAAATAGAATTAAAAGATGAACTCTCCCATGTCATTTCTGTTTTAGGTTAAATTATGGTAGCTCCCTATGTATTTTGAAGCTTCATCTTGAATGGCTTCGAGTGCATTTCCTTACAGAAGTTAACTCTGAAAGACAATCCCAAAGTTAATAGCTAAAATCGAATTCAATGAACCATCAGATGAAAGGAAGAGCTATGAAATTGTAATGCAGACACAATCTATATTTGGATACACATGTTGATTCTGCAACATAAGCATATATTGCTATTTTTCTTGGTGTCCTGAGAAGCAGAAGCCCGAGATGCTCAAGTTACCCCTCTGGCTCGAGTAAAATGCTGATATGAACATGTTTTAATATTCAGTAAAAAATAGCTGATGAGCTCCCCCAGAAGTTAAAGAAAATATTTTCCATTTAGAAATGGTTGTGTCAGAAAGAAGTATTCACGTATCTCTGAAGAGGGGTTGAATCCACCAAGAAGGAATCGGAGCACAATTTGCCTAAAGACACAATTCTACGTATCTGGCAAGTAGCCAGCTTCGGTTATATCCACTAATTGTAACCATAAGAGTAGAACTTATTTGCTTCAATGAGCAATCCCCATTTTTGTTTAGTAGAGCTCTACAGGAAAGACCCTAACTGAAAAGTTGAATCCAGAAGACAATGAAGCTGAAAGTAGAGTTGGTATCAGGTAAATCATGTTGATTCTTCCAACAGTGCCGGGGAAAAAAACCCACCTAAGTAACATTTTGCTTTTTACATGCTTTATATCATGCCATGAAAACGTATCACCCCATGAGCAGGACCTTCCTAAGCGTTGGCAGGGTGGATGCTTGTTTCCTAGAATAGCCAACTTCACCCTAGCAAAGTGGCGAGTATAGTTGTGTGCTGTATGTAGACTGTTCCTGAGCAGAGGAAGAGGGCAGGGATTTGCCCCATCCTGTTTATTAGAACAAGTAGTCCCTGAATTACGACTGGGTTCCTGGTCCGTTGACTCCATTGTAAGTCAGCTCTGACCTAAGTCAAATACTTTTTAAAAGTTTTCAATGTCCTTGCCATTTATTATCAGTATCTTTATACATCCATTCTTTGAAAGTCTGTAGGTGAACATCTAAGAATGATAACAGCAGGAAAGTACATGCTACAACACTGGTGTACATATTACTAAGATTAAGATATACCAGAAAAGAAAGCAAAACCAACCAGCCAGATGGTCGTTAATGAGAACTCTGGTCTAAGTCAGGACTACCTGTAAATCCGGCTTGAACTTACCAGTCACTTTCTAATCTATATGTCTCAGTAATTTGGCAGACATATACTCTAAACAATCTCTAGGGGATGCAAATGGTTTACACTACTACTAACCTAACGGTTGCCAGTTCAAACTCACCCAGTGGTGCTGCAGAAGAAAGGCCTGGTGACAGGCTTCTGTAAAAATCACAGCCAACGCTAGGGTTGCCTAGAGGGCTTGTGGCGGGGAGGTTAGTTGAGAGGGCAGCCTAAGCTCACAAAGACGGCACTCAGGGACCATGGCCGAGGTCAATAATCGCAGCATCAACCTGCTGGCTGCAGAGACCGCCAGTCTGGAAGAACAACTGCTCAGATGGGGAGATGTGATGCTGATGGTAGACAAAGTCCTCCAGTGGGAAAGAGCCTAGTTTCCCCCTGCCATCATGGTATTTCTGATGATCTACTATCTAGATCCTTCCGTTCTGTCTGGTGTTTCCTGTATTGTTATGTTTCTGTGCTTGGCTGACTACCTCGTTCCCATTCTAGCGCCTAGAATTTTTGGCTCCAATTAATGGACCACTGAGCAGCAGCAACGATTCCCTGACATTTGCAGCAACCTAGTGAAAACGCGACACAGAGCCGTGGGCTGGTGGAAATGCCTTTTTACGCTAAAGGAAGAAATGCCTAAAATGTACTTCATGACCGTGATCGTTGCTCTTGCTGCGGTTGCTTGGGTGGGACAGCAAGTCCACAACCTTTTTCTCACCTACTGTGACTTTCACCCTGTTGCGTCCTGGACTGAATCAACATGGAATCATTTCAAAGCACATTGGAATGGCCAAGAGGGAGGTCCACAAGCTTCTCAAACAAAAAGAAAACAAGAATGAACAATGCATCTGCTGACTTGGGTGTGATTAGTGGCGTGTGTGTGGTCCCCGGGAGAAGTTTCTCCTGGGTGCTCCCTCTTTCTGCCCTTAGTTAATCGATACCCAACACTGGCCAAGTGTGCATAGTGTTTCTCTTGTCCAGTGGAGCCGAGTGCTCTCTCGTCGAGTGCTCTCTCGTCGTTTGATCTAATACATATGGACAGCTCTCTAGATTACTGACTTGTTTGTATTTTTCTCACCCATGGGCAATTGAATTCTTATTTGGGGGCAATCGCTTTTAAAGTAATATAGTGGTGGCCTTTATCCTTTAGTGTCCCTGTAGTTCGCAGTGACTCTTGGGAATTGTTCAAGTCCGTCTTTGCGGAGCTGATACAAGCTCCTGGTCTGTGGCTACAGGAGGTTAGTTCTGCTGTCTGCTACCAAGAACGGCTGGCTTCATAGACCCACTGATTTTGCTACCTCTGATGAAGAGACCAATTACGACTCATTCCTCATTCTGTTTCTTTCCCATGGAGGAAGAATCCCCACAGGATCAAATGAAAGTTATTTCCACACCTAGGATCTGTTGATTTGTCCCTTGAACAAAACTTAGCAATTTGTTGGAAACGTTAAACTTTTTCTCTGGTAGAGGGAGAGCATTTGTTCGAAATCCTGAGAGCCTTATCAATGGCAGACTTCCAACAGATGGACTTAAGGATTTTTTATGTAGTTTTCATGGCAATTTTTAGCTGACTAAAACTAAAGTGCAAAGAAGGTCCAACACATGTCTATGACCTTCATGCCCCAGACCAGCCGGTGAAGGACAGAAGTGTTCAGTTAGGCAAGATCCATTTCTGTAGAAAATAGCTTGTCCAACTAAGGTTTTAAAGGACTAGCGTGTGTCATTAAGCCTCAGGACTCTCATTTGATGAGTCAGCTCTCTCGGCCCCTATAGGTTTGGAATAGGAGGTTGAGGGGGGCTATGTTGACATCTGACTTTTTTCTCCCCTAGATCCTTCTCTGAAGAAGACAAGGGCTGTAGGTTAGAGCCGTCTCATGACACTGTTTGCCTCTGGTCTAAATAGATTTTAACTCCTTAAAAAGTCTCATGGACTCATTCTTTGTTTTAAGTAGCTAGGAATGTATAGAGTAGTTGAAATCTGTAGGAATGATCCCCTGATGACCAAAAAAGTTGAAACAGATTTGGGAACAATTCTTAAAACTCTGATTAAATAGGTGTCATAAGAGTTTTGTGAATGTCGAGTGCAGAAGGGATCCATTATCAGGCATCAAAGAACAAAAAATCATAATCATTGTGTGCTCACCTCCCTGATATGATCACTGAAAACAAATGGGTGCATAAGCAAATGTGGTGAAGAAAGCTGATGGTGCCCGGCTATTAAAAGATATAGCGTCTGGGTTCTTAAAGGCTTAAAGGTAAACAAGCGACCATCTAGCTCAGAAGCAACAAAACCCACATGGAAGAAGCACACCAGCCTGTGTGATCACGAGGTGTTGAAGGGATCAGGTATCAGGCATCATCAGAACAAAAAATCATATCATTGTGAATGAGGGCAAGTGCAGAGTGGAGCCCCAAAGCCCATCTGTTGGCAATTGGCCATCCCCTTACAGAAGGGTTGCAAGGAGGAGACAAGTCAGTCAGGGTGCAATGTAGCAAGGATGAAACATACAACTTTCCTCTAGTTCCTAAATGCTTCCTCCTCCCCCACTATCATGATCCCAATTCTACCTTACAAAGCTGCCTAGACCAGAGGATGTACACTGGTACTGATAGGAACTGGAAACATAGGGAATCCAGGGCGGATGATCCCTTCAGGACCAGTGGCACAAGTGGCGATACCGGAAGGGTGGAGGGAGGGTGGGTTGGAAAGGGGGAACTGATTACAAGGATCTACATATAACCTCCTCCCTGGGGTATGGAAAAACAGAAAAGTGGGCGAAGGGAGACGTCATACAGTCCAAGATATGACAAAATAATAATTTATAAATTATCTAGGGTTCATGAGGGAAGGGGAAGCGGGGAGGGAGGGGGAAAATGAGGAGCTGATGCCAGGAGCTTAAGTGGAGAACAAATATTTTCAGAATGATGAGGGCAATGAATGTACGAATGTGCTTTACACAATTGATGTATGTATGGATTGTGATAAGAGTTGCATGAGCCCCTAATAAAATGATTTTTAAAAAAGCTCTGTGAATGTATTACACTGATGCTGTATCACTTGGACTTTGTACTGTAGACAGCAGAGCCTGTGCAGCTTAAAAAATATTTCATAAAAAATAACCTTAATTGTAAATGTGTCTCTAAATTGTAAATATGCCTGCCTTCCCATCTTTTTTGTGTGTGCATATTTGTGTGTGTGTGTGTATGGGGGTGGGGGAGGGTTACATGTTTTCCTGATTAACTACTTTTACATTTTAATTCTGTACTATTCCTTCTACTTTGTTTTGTGTAAGTGGAATAAAATAGTTGGCATTTCAAAAAAAAAAATCACCGCCAAGAAAACCCTATTGACCAGCTCTACTGCAACCGGTGTACAAGGAAGCTTCAAAGACTCTTGTGGAAGTGAATGTAAAAGTTCATGGAATTTGTCCATGCACTTTTTGAAGCCCATGTGAATACTGCAAGGAAATAATAGGAAAGAAAAATCATCCCACAAGTGTTCATGTTATAAAGAAAAAGGTTTTATTGATCAAGTAGGACTCAAGAAATGTGAGCAGCAATTCTAATAAAAACAGTCTTTTTTCCAGCCTTTTGACATCTCTCCCCACCTGCCTAGGAAGGTATATGCAAAAACACTTCAGGGAGGACATGAAATATTTTTGCTAGGGTGTATCAGGATTCTGGAAATCTAAATGTTCCCTTTTTTTGGGGGGGAGGGGTTGTCATATGACTAAGGCACTAAAGAAACCACACCCCCAAGGCTGATTCAATGACCTTAGTGGGGAAGGTGACTACAGAATTGATTGAGCAGAGCAGGGCCTCGTTGAGTGCTGTTAATTATTATACTAGGACAACACGTGGCAGTCCATCAGGAGTGGTAAACCAGGCTGCGGTGCAGTAACCCATGAGCACCCTATACACGGGTACCAGGTATGCCGTGGAGGTCTAAGAAGCTAGGAATTGCGTACCCACATGCTCACTCCCATTTACAATATTCACTGTCACGGAGCTTTCTCCTAAGGTCTCATAGAAGTCTGGGGGCCCTGGAAAACACACTTATCTTGTGTTTCCCCCTTGAAAAAGAACTTGGCAATGTTGGGTTCCATTGTACATTGCGTCACCATGAGTTGGGAGCCCACTCACCAGCAGTTAACAACATCTTTTTAGGGATTCTTAAGTATTTCCCAGGAGCCCTGGTGGCATAGAGGGTTATGCATCCAGCTGCTAACTCCAAGGTTAGCAGTTCAAACCCACAGTCCCCTGCAAGGGAGAAAGAAGAGGCTGTCTGTCTCTGTAAAGCTGTGAAAGTCTTGGAAACTCACAGGGTCACTCAATGGCAGTGAGGTTGGTTTTTTAAAGTTTTGTCTTCCCAGGGAACACGTGCTGCCTGTTCTTAGGGAGGGCAGGCAACCTAGAGGCAAATGTCCTGGGCCCGCTCTTTTTGGAGGGGAGATATCCTCAGACACTTCCATAGGCAGCTTCAGCTCTGTCTTGTAGACTGGAATCACTGGCATATTGATGAAAAATCAAAAAATACTACCAGTCATGGATGCGACCTTGATTCTGAATGAACACAGACTTCCAGGCTAGGGCAGCAGTGGTGTGTAATCTTCAGAGTAAGCGGCATAATTACCCTATCTGGAAAGTTTCTTTCCCTCTTCCTAGAACAAAAGTCTCCTCTGCTATTGTAGAAATGGGGAGAATTGACGCTGGTTGCCCACCTTGGAAACCAAGAAGGTCGGCTCCTGCCGGTATCAACTCACCAACACCTGCTATAAAACGGTGGCCAGGGCATACAAAACAGTACCATCCACTGGGGATGAGTCGATGATTAATCCTTGGGGGAAAAACAAAAACTTTTTCCTGTAAAAGTGCCAGGAAGGAATTCTAAGTGCTGTGTTTTCTTTCGAATGTTCTACACATGCTTTCTACCTGAGCAAGTCTTGAAGAAAAATATCCGGCCCGCAGAAACACAAGAGGATTTTAGGCTATAAGTAAAAGTCCTTATTGTCTTCAGATTGCACAATACATCTTCTAGATTATGAACTGATAACGAGCACAGCAAGTTCTGGCAATGACCATGAGAGAGCAGGCGGCCTCCTACAAGACCCAAGGGTACGTGCTTGCATTTGGAGACCAAAGTGTACCTCAGACATTCGGTCAGGGATCACCAGCCTGGGCTGGGGGTCTGTTTCTGCCAGGGTCCTGAACTACAAGGTCAGGGCCTGTGCCTTCCCAGTTGACATTTTGATGGCCGTGCCTACCTGAACCTCCATGGAAACCCTTACTACCTGACGAAGAGGAAACAGTAGCTCAGAAAAGGCAGGCATCAAAAGGTACCACCATCAGTCCCTGGGACTCTGGCGGGTCTGGCTATTACTCCAGTGCTAAATATCATTATTGGCAAAAGTAGAAATCTATTTGGTAAAGAGAGTTCTGCAAAGACTGATAGACAGCTCCCATACCAAAAAATAAACATCTATAAGAGCTATGATCCATTATTAGTAAAGTGCAGCTGTTTCAAATCGTCTAGTTAACAATTTGTAAAAGTTAGTAGGCATTGAGGGAAAACACTGCCTGGCTAGGAACGTCTTAAGGGGCTGCCTGGCTGCTCTGTTGCTTCGACTTGGCCTCTATATTTAGCACATAGTCGTGGCGGAAGGATGAGCGGACAGTGCGATTCATCAGGGGCTGCAGGGGCCGGAAGTTGTCGACCATTCTTTTCTCTTTCTCCCCCTCTGATGTGAACAGCAGGGTCCGAAATTGATCAAGCTAGAAACAGAGAACAGCAAATGTAAATCGTTTCAAGAGGAAAGCAACATGACTAAATGAAGGCATTGCATTTGTGTCAAAAGCCCTGAAAAGCACGAGCCTAAAGTGGGACGCAGAGGAAAGACTTCTGGGAATGCCTAGGAATGCCGTCAGGGTTTGGGTGAGGAGAAAAATCCGGGGACAGTGTTGGAGACAGCAGCAGGTTGTGTGAATCTGGGAGAGGGGGTGGCACTTGGGGAAATCACCAGAGGGTTTGTTTGTTTGATGTTTTAAGTTTATACAGAGATCCGCATGAATAGGTTTTAACAAAAAAAGCGCACTTACAGTCGGTGTCAAGTGAGAGCATAAAGAGCTTATGTTTGCCGGTGTTTTGAACTCTCAGCTCCTATGAACTTGAAGCATCTCTTAACCTGTGTCTAAACACGACGTTAGCACATTTGACTAGGAATATATAAGATGAGTTGACACAGTGGCTACAACAATGGGCTCAGGCATGGGAACCAAAGTGCGGTGGTGCAGGACCGGGCAGCGTTGGGTTCGGTTGTGCAAAGGGCCACTCTGCGTTGGAGCTGACTTGATGGCACCTAGCAACAATAACATGTTAGCATTATGAGATGTTAAAAATGGATGCCAGATCTGGAGCCCAGCAGTCTCATGCGGGTGTACTTGATCTTACTTCCAGAGAAGCTGTGGAGAGAGCTTGGGGGTTGTGAGCAAGACGGCAGCCATGTTGAAGTAGAATCTATTTTGTTCTACAGTTGTTCTTGACGGTGTTTACTATTTCCAAGGGTCCTCAAGAGCTTGGAATGTTAATTTCTACTGGACTCCTACTTGGGGTCGACTTGACCCTTCCAGCTCTCTCAGCCATCGTATCTGATTGAGAAGGAGTGGTCAGTTGGAAAGTACAGGTCAAGCTAATGGATTATAGCGTTCTTCTTTTATGTACTCACTGTGCTTTCTGTACTAACTGCTTTATGGTTTTTTGTAGCCTGCCTTGGATCTTAAGTATGATAGCTCACCTGTGCGTAACATGTGAATAATAATATTCTTTGAAGACAATAATATCAACATCACTTGGAAACTGGGATAATTCGAGCACGTTCTGGTGGATGCTCCATTGGCTGTTCCCCTAATAAAAAGTTTTTCTCTGTTCCACGTAGAGTGGTTATTAATGAGACTCAATTAACCCAGGGCACAAACTCAATATTTGGGGTAACAAGCTTACCTGACCATGATCAACCTCTATTGGTTGCTTCTTAATGATCCAGGTGACAGATTCAGAGAGTGGTGGGGTGGTCAGAGACCCCGAGTAGGTCCAGTAATCTGGGCAGGTGGGCATCAGGCAGGAAGGATCGAATGACGCAAATTCCACAAGGGTGTTCTGACCAAGGAAAGGGTCACAGAGTCAGTGTTTGATGGTGACAGCCACCAGGGAAGGGCACAATATGGTGATGCAGGGGACCAGCAGTGGTCCAGGGGAGCCTGCGTGCCTGTGAGGAATGCCCCAAGCTATCACTCTTAGCACTGAATCATACCCGTGTTTTGCTCCTGCAATTCGTTGTGCACTGCTATTACCCACAGTGGCATGCTGCAAAAGCCATGCCCTCCTCAATTCTGTGTGTGGAGGAGGGCGACTCTCCTCTGAGGAATTAATAGGTGGTGACGGGTGCCTAAAGAAAGGGGCCCTGGTGGTGGCACAGTGGTTAAGCACTGGGGTACTAAACCACAAAAAGTCAGCAGTTCGAACCCACTGGCTGCGCTACAGGAGAAAGACTTAGCTGTCTAGCAACCCAATGGGGGCAGTTCTACACTCTCTTATAGGGTTGTTATTGAGTCGGGATGGGTTTGGCAGTGGATTGGGTTTGGGGAGGTACTGGACCAAGGTGGTTGCTTTTACTCTGTGGATAAGAAAAAGAAAGCCTCCTTTTTGAATGATATGCAAATGAGAAGCCAGGGTACCAGCCAGACATGGTGGGTCAGGTAAGGTGAGACAGGAGGAGGAGACAGAAAGTTACATCCAGAATTTCCAGGGAGCAGTCCCTTTGAGCTTCTGGATCTCAAAGCATGCATCGAAGAGGTTGGACAAAGGTTTCTGGCCTGCAGGACATGTGTACGTGTTCTTTAAAGCTAGGCAAGTCAAGTTTCAGTCAAACTCCTCTTCCTACTGATAGCTATGAAAGGAAAGCACGCGGGCTTTGAAAGGGCGAAGAAGCCCTAGTGGTGCAACTGGGTTATGTGTTGGGCTGCAACTCACAAGGTCAGTAGTTCAAACGCACCAGATGTTCTGAGGGAGGAAGGTGGGGCAGTCTGCTCCCATAAAGATTATAGTCTTAGAAACCCTCTAGAGCAGTTCTTCTCTGCCCTATAGGGACGCTATGAGTCAGAACCAACAATGGTGCTGGAAAGCAGCTAGCAGAGATCATTCAACAACCGAAGCCCAAGTCCTCGTCCCTAACCACTGCCAATGGGTCCCTTGCACATCCCTCAGGGCATCCTCTCCCCTAATGCGAGCTTTGAGAAGGCACATTGCTTCCTCAGACCACTCTTGAATCACATCTCCTGATTCATTCATCGCCACTTTGAGGCTGACACCGCCCATACCTTTCCAGTGTTTAGAAACAACGAAGATTACCTTGTGCTTAATCGACGGCAGCAAAGACACCAGTTTCTGCAGCTCTTCATGGTGTTTGCCGAGCTACAGAAAGAACCAGGGAGAAAACATGACACACAACGGAATATCCAACCCAGGAGAAACTGAGAATGGAACGGAACGGGAACGGACAGCCTGGCAATTACCTAAACCCCCACAGCCCAGTGCAAAAGGGGCACTTCAGCTGGTGACCTCACCCGTTTTCCTCCTCAAGGAGGTCAGCACAAAGGAGCAGGCTGTTTGCTGACAGGCTCGGCGTGCTCCCGGCCCACTGGTCATTTCATCTGCTGGCCTCTCTGAGCTCACAGGAGCCTTGGCAGCTGAAGAGCCAGGCGGACAGTAGACCGGCCACTGTCTCAGGTCTCTAGCTTTGAGGACCCATTGCAGAAGCCCGGGCTGCCAGGCTGGGCTTAAGGGCCCTCGGGTTTCCAATTCACTCCTCCCTTTCCTTGACCAGAAAGCCCGCAACCACGTGGAGTTTTACTTTCTTCACATGAGAGAAGGGACTGGTTATCTAGCCATCAGGTTTACATGACAAGCTAACTGAGTCCCACTCTGTACCCACCCCACACTGTCCTGTGTACCATTCACATGCGCTGCCATCAAGTCAACTCCGACTCATGGTGACCCCACATGTGTCAGAGCAGAACTGTGGCCCCTAGAGTTTCAAAGGCTGTTTGGGGGGAGGGGGGGAGTTGGAGGAAGTAGCTAGCCAGGTCTTTCTTCGGAGGTGCCTCTGGGTAGGCTGGAACCTTCAACCTTCTGATGAACAAGTGACATATTAACCGTTTGCAGCTGCAGGGCCTCCTGTCCAAACCCTCCCCAACAGTCATTCTTTTTGCGATCATTTCCCACAGTCGTTTGTGTCTTTTCATCCCATTTAAAATGTGTTTCTCATGCATTTCCTGTTTTAAGCAGGATTTCTTTGGAGTGATCTGCCTTATATGCGAGCTTAAATTCAGAGCACCCCCAGTTTGCAAAGGGCTATGGATGGCAGTGCAGCCCCAAGTCTATTTCCAGGGTCCCCCACAAAGATTACCGTTAACTAAGGCTAGAGATCATCTTGCCCGCAGACCAAGTGCCTCGGAGAGCAGATGACCCCCACTCCTCTGTTAGCAGCCTGTGTCTTTGATAGAGGTCACTGTACTGGGGACAGTACAGGGGGTCAACAAGATCATGAGTCAGCCCTCTCAGTGTTGCCCTGACCTTCTCGGTTGGAAGACCCTGGATCAATGCCATAAGCCCTTCTAACTCACAATGCACTTGTTCCAATCACAGTCCCATTCCTGCTTCTGTAGTTCCACCTGGAACTGTGATGTATTGATCTGCCACCACCTATGAACTTGCGACAGGTCCTGTTGCTCCTTGCCTATTTATCTAGCCTCCCAATGGTGAATCCTCAGACATCATTTTGACCTCCTGCTAAAGGTTTCCCTGTTCCAGATGATGTATTTGCATCCTTGTGTTTTTTGTCTCTGTTAAGACTTAATGTTCTCCTTAAATCATATTTAAGATTGGGGTCTCTTTTGTACCGTAAATCAGCTGTTACGAGTCTTGCTGGTGTAGCAAGTTATGCATTGGGCTGCTAATCGCAAGGCCCACAGTTCGAATTCACCAGCTGCTCTGCGGAAGAGATGGCTTTCTACTCCGGTAAAGAGTTACAGCTTCGGAGACCCACAGAGACAGTTCTACCCTTTCCTCTAGGGTCACTATGAGTCCACATCAACTTTGTATGATGGATTTTCATACAAATACATTTTCATGTATTTGAAATTAGAAATGTATTTTCATCCGAAATGCATTTGTTGTTGTTGTTAGTTTTCACAAACTTTACAGTTAAAAGCGTGCCTGCACCTACCCACGCTGATCCACGCATTCATAAGAGTTCCACCACTAACTGCATTGAGTATCAAGCTTTGCTTGAAATTCAAATGATGCAAATGAAAAATACCATTCCACAATGGCACTGGCCTCATGTCAAGGGCTCAATGGCTACATGTGGCTCGTGACCTTTCTATTGGGCAATGCTGTTGTCTACCATGTAAAATATGCCCGCAAAATCACAGTCTGTTGCTCCTATTCGCAATAGATTCTGAAACAAAACCATTTATGTATAAACACTGTGCTAGCTTTTCATTCTCGACTCCATTATTTGAAGTGGGTGAGATTTTTTTCTTTACCTTCAAAAAGATTCCGATCACAGCCAATCCATTTTCCTCCTGGGCCGCATCCTCAAAGGTCTCAAATTTAACCGCATTCCAATGGACCAGGTGGAGCTGCAAGGCCATGGAAAGGGGGTTTATTTTGTGAAAATAACGGGCTACCGAACAAAGCGCCAGCTTTACTCACTCTTATACCATGCCTGTTTTTGAAACAAGTGCCCCAATCCAAAATCAAGCCACTGGCCAATGCTTATGGCAATCTGCTAAAAAGGAGATTGGGGACAATCGTGACAGGAAGAAATCAAGCCAGCATGGCTATGAACAGGGATTGGGAATAGAGGGACTTGTGGGGAGAAGATGGAAGAAGTACATTTATGTGGGGAAGTGAGTCACATTTCCGTGGTGGGTCACCATTTGCCCCTTTTCATCTGCCTTTGCAGGACATACTACCCCATAGCCTAAACCCACGTGCATCAAAACGTGAGACAGTGAGTGATAGAATCTCTAGTGGTGTTTAGACCAGAGGTGAAGACACTTGGCTTCTTTGGCAGCTATCCACTGAAAATGTGCTTCTTTTTATCTTGAATATAACCTTGAACATGAAATTAGGGTGGGGAGCTGTAAGTAAAAATTCTCATGCCTCATGCAGTCCTTATATGTCTCTACAAATGATTCCTCACTGAGCATTCCGGAACATTCTGTTCTTTATATCACCTTCACCCCAGCCTCCCAAGTGAGAAAGCTGAAGGTCACTGTCAACTCTGCTTTCTCCTCTCTTGAAAAGAACTCCGCCCCCCCCCACCAGTCCAGTAGTTCTCATTCTAGCGAGCCTTGTTAAAGTTTGCCTTTTCCATATCTATTCCTGTGACTTCGTTTCTTTGTCTCTGTGGGCTGGCCTGACTTGGCTCGGGCTCAGAATTCTGACTTGGTGGCCCTGCAAGGAAGCGCTCCAGTTCAGCACTGTCACGTTCAATTCGGCCATATTGTCCAAAGTGAAGGAAGTTGTCATTTTCATAGGTCTAAACTCTGGTGGCGGCATAGTCGTTATGCGTTGGGTTTGTGACCACAAGGTCAGCAGTTCAAAACCACTAGTCGTTCCGAGGGAGAGAGATGAGGCTTTCTACTACCGTAAAGGGTCACAGTCTTGGAAATCCACAGGGGCTGGCCGCGCTGAGTCGGCATCAACTCGATGGCAATGATTGAGGGAGATAGGGTCACTATGAGTCAGAATTGACTCAATGGCAGTGAGCTTGGTGGTTTGGTTTGGGGTGGCAGGAGCCCGATGGCACAGTGGTTAGACACTCAACTAGCAAACAAAGGATCAAAGGTTGGAACCCATCAGCAGCTTTATGGAAGCAAAGACCAGTAGCGTGTTGGGCTAGGCATTGGGCTGCTAACCACAAAGTCAGTAGTCAAACCTACCAGTCACTCTGAGAGAGCAAGAGGAGGCTGTCTTCTTTCATCCGATGTACAGTCTCAGAAACCTGCGTAGGGTGGCAATGAGTCAGACTGCACTCGCTGGCAGTGGGGCGGGTTTGGGCTTAACCTTTATGGAAGCTGACTGCCACATCTTTCCTCCCGGAGCGGCTGGTGAGTTCGACCCAGTGAGCACTTAACCATAGCCTCACCAGACCTCCTGCTTGGTACAGACAAAAGTCCAATAGCACTTATGGGAGGAGCCCTAGTGGTATAGCTGTTCCGCATTGGGCTGTGATCTTAAAGGTTGGCGGTTCAAAACCCCCTACAGGAGAAAGATGGGGCTTTCTACTCCTGTAAAGAGTGACAATCTCAGAAATTCACAGGGGCAGCTCTACCCTGTCCTATAGAGTCGCTATGAGTCAGAAGCAACTTGGTGGCAATGAGTGACATCTCAGTGGCCCATAATCACAACCACAAGCTGAGTTGAGTCAACTTAAAGAATGCAGCCTGTGTCACTAAAGTAAAACCCAAAAAACCTTCCACTGCTATCGACAGAGTAGAACAGAGTGGAACTGTGCCTGTGGCTTTCACAGACTCTGCCTCTTTCTGGCAGTAGAAAGCCCAGCCTTTCTCTGACCCTCTCGTTCGCAGCCCAACTCCAGGGCCCTCCCTGAAATATACATGTAAAAATGGTTGATGATTTGGGGGATGCTTTGCTGCAGACATTTTCGCTTTTTTTTTTTTAAAGGCATGCCTCTGAGAATGCCCTCAAACCCTTGCAGGAACGGCCTGGTTCTTCCCAATCAGCCCTTTCTTAGAATGAGAACCCTTCAAACCAGTCACCCCGCCAAGTGTCCCGGCCCCAAGCAGCTGCCTTACGTACCTCAGCTGGGTAGCATTTGCTGTCCACCGTGTGCTCTGAGCCCCACGTGTTGATGGCCCCCCAATGAAAATGGAACTGCTTCAGCCGATAGTTGTGGTCCAGTGGTCCTCCCTTGATTACTGAAAGGACACAGCCGGCAAGTCAGGGGGCAGTCACTCATGCTGGGGACTTTGTCTTACAGACCTGATCTCCATGTGGTTAACACATGGTGGCGGGTGGCAGGGTGAGACCGGCACCCGGCTGACACCGAGATTTAACTCTACACCACACTCCATGCCCGTCCCTCAGTGAGCTTTGCATTTTGTGACAAGGTAAGCGATCCAGTGCACACTCCCTGCCTCCCCGCCCCAATATCCATCCAACTCAACATCTTCAAAACGAAAACAGCGGGACAAAAGCAACTTTCTTTTATCAGGCAGATATTTTCCGTGGTGTTTCTCCCCCCATGCACACACCTCAGCACCGGTTCTGGGTTGAATGTTATAAATACCCCTTTCCCTCAAAATGTGATTTTTCTGGGATTTGTGGCAGCAACATAGGACAGGCAAACGACTCAAGAGACCACAAGGTCTTCCAGCCTCTCTTTCTCGGGCTTTAGGTTGGGTGAATTTTTTTTTGTTTGACTCCTAAGCTAGAATTTAGTACACGTTACCTGTTCTTCATGTGTCCCCTCCTCCCCCCCATTTCTCATCAGACCAGTGCTGCAACCCAGAGGGCATTCATTCGATAGCCTTACGTACACTTTGGCGTGTACCTTAACGGCCCATTGATTTTATGACTCCAGGAGCCATAGCACTGGTGACGCCTGTGATGTGCGTTGTTGTTTTTGAAAACATTTATACATTGTTTCCTCTTTCCAAAGCAAACCGAAAAGGAAAAAGGGCTTCTGTCCGAGGTCACTGAAGACCCCGGTGATCACTTCCCCTCGAGGGCCGGGGAGGTGCCGAGAATGCTGGCCGTGAGTCCGTGACTCCAGTACATTGATCCCCGGCTAGGAAGGCGGTGGCCAACGTGTGCAGAAATAATACTGGCGCATCATGAGACATCTCCTCCAACATCAGTGTCCACGAGCAGGCCCAGGAGAAGGAGTCACCAATTAAGAGGATGGGATGGTGGACAGAATTGGTGTTGGCAGGAGGAGGGGTTGGTTGTATGTATGTGTGTGTGTGTGTTTTCAATCACTCACCTAATGCTGATTCACATGGTACTACAGAAAATTTGGAATCAGTTGCCAATATTTAACACTGAGCAACTTCACATAAAAATCCAGGTTCCCAAGAAAAGACTTGGAAGGGGGCCAGTCTAGCCATGTTGGATGTGCCCCAAGAGAGCCTGAGTAGAGGGCCAGCAAAGCTCTGGCCCAGAATCGCTGCCTCTGAGCCAAACCCTTCAAGAGTTAGGCTATACTTCTATTTGGGCTTGCTCTTTGGCCCCTTGCACCTTGAACTTTACTGGCAGTAATACCTAATACCAAGGAGCCCTGGTGGTTCTGTGGAGTAAGCATTGGGCTGCTAACCACAAGGCCAGTGGTTCAAACCCATCAGCCACTCCGTGAGAGAAAGATGAGTCTGTCTGCTCCTGTAAAGAGTTATAGTATCAGAAACCTTATATACTATTCCTATGAGTTTGAATTGTCTCGGTGGCACTAAGTAATACCTAATGCAAGCATCACACTTCCACTTCCCCTTGGGCTATCAGAAGTCATTTCTGCTCAGAAGCCTTCCCCTGTGCCCACCTCCGTGTGAGCATCTCTCCCAAGGTCTTCCTCCCTGCGGCACTATCTGCTCCTGAAGGCCGGAGCCATCCCCTGTCCTCTTCCTACTCCGAGCCCCCAGACCTGTGCCTGGCACTTGGGAGATCCTCAATGAAATCCAGAACAAAGGAAATGACCTGGAAAGAGACTGCTGGAGTCCTTCATTAGGATGAATGAGTTAGGGGAAAGGATAAGGCAAGGTGGGGTGATGGGAAGCAGTGTGATCAAGACAGTGAGTGGTGAAGAGCGACAGAAGGCAGTGACACAGTCCCAATGGAGAACCAAGGAGTAGAAACCAAATCCATTGGGGAACTGCCCTCAGAGGCTTTTCTAGGTTTTCACCGTTCTGCAAGCGGACCGCCTCATCTTTCTCCCCAGTGAGGCGGGTGTGGGTGGTGGGTAGGTAGGGGGGTCACAGCACTAGCTTTTTGCTTGTCAGCTGAGCGCTTCATCACTGCACAACCACCAGGGGCTCCTTCCAATAAATCCAGATTTCTCTACTGGAGATGGTGGATTACTCCTTTCCTTACCTGCTCGCAGATGAAAAAAAGGGTAGACTTGCGCACATTAGAAACAGCTAGGAAAACAGCTTTCAGCCAGCCAGCCAGCCATGGCATGTTCAGCCCTTACAGAGGAGAAGTGACGAAGGGAACAGTGACCCACAGGACCTGATCCACAAAAGTCAAAGCCAAAATCAAGTCCAAGGGAAAACATTGTATGGCTGGATCGTGGTGATGGCTGCCGAACTCTGTAAGCTCCCTATCCATCCATCACTGAGCTTTGGAAAACAACCAGTAAATGCAGGACCAAACGCTGGGCATGAGAACACCAAACGTTTCTGGGAACATATCCCATGTCCACAGAAGCAAAGCAAGATGGGGCTGAAGGCTCTCTGAGGAGGCCACTCATGGGACTCATATCACCTTCTCTTTTAAGGCCTCCTAAGACCGCTCCCAGGAGTCATTTCACACAGGTGAGACATTGACAGGGATCATTCATGGAGCGTGGCCCATGGACAATTTTGGACCCTTTCCCACAACATTTGGTGCCTTTCACATGCCCCAGTGACACTGTGGCGAAAGCACTCAGCTGCTAAGCAAAAGGTCAGCAGTTTGAACCCCTTAGGAGAGAGTCGTGCTTTAAAGATGGCCAGCAGCAGTGGAACCCCCTGAGGGCACTTGCACTCAGTCCTATAAGATAGTTAAGAGTTGGAATCGACTCGATGGCAATGGGGACGATTTTGGTCTCCCCACACCCTCGTGACAGCCTGATTTAATAAACTGTGTCCTGTTATAGCTAACCAGCAGAGGGCGGTGGTACAGCTGGTTACATACCTTCTCTTAACACTCCTTTTCATTAACTGTAAGGCCAGTCCCCTTGGCGCCTCTTTCAGGTTGGATTTCAGCAAGATTTCATTCTCTCTCTCTCACCCTGTCTTGGTCCACCTACACTGAAGGGTAAGTTATTTGGGATGATTTTCTCAAAGAACCAACTTGTGATTCCATTGATCTCTGCTCTATTCCTTATAATGCTCTTCCGTCTGCAGGCCCTGAGTTGCTGGCGTTCCTCGCTCACATCTTAATGCAGAAATCTAGGTTACTGAGTTGAGAGATGTCTTCTTTTCAACAACAGGCAGTTGCATCTAGAAACGTCCTTCCAAATACAGTGCTATAGCTGCCTCTCAAGAAGTTTGCCATGTTCGGTTTTCCTGCAGTTTTTTTAACTTCTTGGTAAAGGACACTGGAGTCGCGCCTTTCCTGAGTGTTTTTTTCCCAACCCTATCTTGAACTCGATGACACTGATCTTTGTTAGAACCTTCCTTTTCTAGAAGTGTTTCTGGTCTGTCTGCATTTCTAACATGTCTGTGTTCGCTTTTACTTTTTCTTCCTTTCTTTTTTGAGGTTCACTCAACTCCCATCCTCTTGAACCGCTATTGGTTCATTGGCAACAGCGCGGAGGAAGAGCAGGACAAGAACAAGCAGGAACTAGACCGTCACTGAAATGAGGTGAGAGACAGAGAAAGAGAGCGTTAGGAGCTTGTTAGAGAGCGAGACCATTTTTTAAGAAGGTAAGCAATAAAGCACAATGAAAGGCAGGCTATTGGCCTTGATCTGGCCCAACCAAATGAGTAGGAAATCAGCAATTACAGCTCTACAACTTTTTTGGCATGTTGTGTAAAATCATGCTATAGTCAGAGGCTTTGCAGGTATCTAAAAACCTAGTAGGAGCAAAATGCTGGTCATTTGTTTTCCATGGGAAACTGGCAAGGCACATGGGTGGGGTGGTGGTGCTGGAAAAGAATCTGGGATCTACTGTGCAAGAGAATAAGAGGTGATTGAAAAATAAAACCACTAGCTCTTTGCCTGGAATGATCTTGGAATTAACTACCTTGGTTAAGTAAGCCATTAAAGGACTTTCTTTAGATTCCAAGTTCAATAAGGTCCTGAGGTGTTGGCAACAGATAATAACCAGCCAGACTCCTGAGAATCTCTAGATTATTCAGGGCCTTAGAAGGCTGACCAACATCTAGGAGCCTCAGGGGGAAGGAGAGGAAGTGGCCAGGGACCCAAGCTGGAGCTGAGGCTCAGGAAGCCTCCTAGGTCTTCAGGAGGAGGGTATGAGTTGGTTCTCTGTGGAGCAGGTCAGCCTACAAGTTCAGGTTGGGCGGGAGCAGTGGTTGCGTTCTTATTAAAAATCAAATGCACTGCCATCCAATTGATGCTGGCTCATAGCGATCCTACAGGACCAGGTAGAACTGTCCCTGTGAGTTTCCAAGACTGGAACTCTTTGTGGGAGTGGAAAGCCCCATCCTTCTCACCAGCTGCTCTAAGCGAGAAAGTTGAGGTTTTCTACTCCTGTAAAGAGTTACAGTAAAAAAAACCAAACAAACAGATATAGTGTCAGAAACCCACAGGGGAATTTCTACTCTGTCCTATAGGGTCACTGTGTGTTGGAACTGACTTGATAGTGGAGGGTTTAAAGAGAATGCAATATTCTGGGCTGTTAGTTGGGAGGGCACATTCTGGAGTTCTTAAAAGAGAAGCTGGGAGGGAATGGAGAAATTGCTTCTTGTTGTTGTTATTGTTGTTGTTAGGTGTCCTCAAGTCAATTCCGACTAACAGCAACCCTACGGAGAACAGAACGAAGCACTGCCCGGCCCTGCTCCAGCCTCACAATCCTTCCTATGCTCACTATTGCTTCTTAGTCGGAGATTGATAAGATGATGCTCGGGGCTTTTCGAAATGTCGGCGAAATATAATAAGGTACGCTGGAGGAGAAAGGGGGAAACAGTGGAAGGGAGGACACTTCCGGCCTTAAGAAGTGACCGGTAACTTCCTGCATCACAGCAGAGACGTACTGTGTGTTTAACCTCAGTTAGTTTCCTGTGTGCACATGATTTTTAGATAGGGAGATCATAAGAGGAATAAAACAGTCTGTTGGAGGAAAGGAAATAAACTAGAAAGACATCCCCCACCTTTTTTTTTTGCAATTGGGCCAGCGCATCACGACAAAATGCAAATGAATCCACCACGGAGGAGTTGGGACTTCAAGAATGACGAGCGACACACAGGCGTGAGCACGCCTATTTCATTCGCTTGTTTCCCCTCATTCACGCTCACTTTCCTGGACTCCTGTCCTCATCTTCGTGAGAGAAACCAGATTTCTTTTAGATCAGGGTTCCTTATCCTCAGTTCTAGCAACATGTGAGGCAGGAGTACTCTTCGTTAATCCCATGATAGTTTAGTGGGTTACGTGTTGGGCAGCTAACTGCAAGGTTAGCAGTTCAAACCCTCCCAGGGAGAAGACGCCAGTCAAGAGTTACTGTCTTGGAAACCCACAGGGCAGTTCAATTTTATCCTCTAAGGTTGCTAGGAGTTGGCATTGCCTTGATGGCAGTGCATTTGTGTTTGGGTTTGGTGTGCTGTAGGATGTGTAGCCGCATCCCTGACTTTGACCCACTAGATGCCAGGAGTAACCCTCTCTCCCTGCCCCAGCTGTGACACTCCATACGCCCTCTAGCTATTGTGGGTAAGGTGGGGAGGGAGGCTGGCAAATGGGCCCCTGGTTGGGCACCATTACTTTAGATACACGATTTCAAATAATAATGATTACAGGCTTCTGAGGACTATTGCCATACCATCATGGTCAGTAAGAACACCATCAACCACAAGAAATCAATCATCTTCTGCCTTCAAGAGACTCCCAGATTTTCCATTATCTTTTAAAATGTTTCAAATTCCTTTACATATGCTGAAGTCGAAAGAAAAAGAAGATTCCACAAGCCAGGTAACCCGTGAATTTGGAAATCCCTTGGAGCTGGTTTCTTTTAAATCAGAGCACGTCATTTCTGGACCAAAATGAACAGATCCGGAGTTTCCTTTCTCCTGACACACAGAAAGAAGCTGCAACTCCATGGGGTGGGCTGTTTCTCTGGATCACAAGTGCTTTCCGCCTTTGACAGGGGGCTGTCTCCATCCCTTCACCACCACCCCACCCTCCCCATCCCCGCCCCCGACAGTTTTATGGAGATGGTTTAGCATTTTCCTTCTCCGGCAGGTTCTGACACAGTTCTGCCTGACTTTGATAGGATTGTCTGTGTGGCTCATTTTAACTGGTTTCTAAAGCACAGGACCTTTTGTCCAGAGGTGTAAGCTTTTTACCCCCACTCCCAGTGCTCTGAAATGTCCTCAGTTCCAGAACTGAACAAATGGCCTGATGGCGGGAGAAAGCAGCCACTTGTGGAACCCTGCGGGCCTCTCACGCCGCCATTGACAGACCAATGAGAAAGTCTCTATATGGAAACGCGGGTGTTAAGCCATACTGACCACAACAATGGGCTCATTGTTGAGATCAGGACTGGGAGGGTGGATCAGGGCCAGGCACCATGGATTTCATGTGATCCATCCCCTCTCGATCTTAATCATGAATAATATTAATGATTTGATACTTCATTAATGAAAAGGTTCCAATAAGACCTCTAGCGACTAGTAGCAGGAAGCACGCCTAAGAACCAGGAGGGAGTTTTTTCAATCCATTCAAAAAGCACGTGAACTTGATGGCATGCCCCATAACAGACAAACCAAGAGGACTACAGAGGGGAGGGGGCCCACTGTGGTCTTGAACTGCACACTGGACGCCCAGCTCTGGCTCTCACCTGATTTGTCAGCAGAGTCCTCAAATTCCACCAGGAAGGAGTAGCCGTTATTCCAGACGTGGAGGCAGGTGGATGGATCGTAAGAGATGGTCAGAGGTTTGAGGCCAGGATCATAAACACTGTCCCTCCACCGGATGTTGATGGGCGACTGACGATCACCGCCAGGAAGCAGGTCTACCCTCTCCCAGAGCGGATGCACTAGGAGAGAGGGGCCGGCGTTATGCTCGGGCCTATCCACTGTCACTTACCACACCAAGCACTCCCACTTGGGGATAACTGGATGAGGCGCAGCACCACTCGAAGCATGGGGAATTACTGCTTCAGGGCTCCACCGATGCCTAACCCACAGTCATAGTAACAACAATAAAACTTAAAATGTCAGCAGAGCAGCAAGTTGCCATCTTGTAAAGCCAAGCATGTCAGCTGCTCACACTCATGTCCCCACGTCCAGCGCCATGCAGTCCTGGGACAATAGTAGAAACGCCCAGAGGTTAGACCCCCTCCTGGAAATGGGATGTTCTTGAAAGAATTCCTTTTCTCTATGGAGAATACTCTGGGCCCCATCTCTCTCCCAACACTTGCTTGAGATGCAAACACAAATTGATTTACCTACCATTCAAGAACAGACCTCTTTCCAGCAAAGTAATGCGACAAGAGGGGAACGAAGTTTGGGAGAGCAAACTGCTCAAGGTGGTGTTGCTTTTGCTGGTGAGCTCATAGAACTAAGGGCAGGCCATGAAGCTCACATCCTATAAAAGGCTTATTCCTTATAAGTGGGAGGTTTGGCTCCTTTCCTATGTTAGCTAACTTCAAGGGTGAGGCAGCCATTTTGAAAATCCAGGGAAGAGTATAAACATTGTTAAGATCCTACCTTAAGTAGCCCTGGGGTGGGGGTAGTAGGCTACACATTGAGCAGCTAACCTTCAGGTCAGCGGTTCACACACCAGCAGCGCCACTGGAGAAAGAAGTGGCTGTCTATTCCCATACAAGTCTGAAGTCTTGGAAACCCCAAAGAAGCAGTTCTCTCTGTCCTATAGGGTCGCTATGAGTTGAAATTGAGGTTGGTGGGTTTTGGGGTGTTTTTTTTTTAGTAGGGTGTCTCTCAAGTTGTCAACTTGCCACACAAGTAGCTCGTTCTTTTTGTTCTTCGGTACCATTGAGTCCGGTCTGACTTATGGATAAGACAATGAAATGCCCCCTGGTCCTGCATCTTCCTCACCTTCGTTGTTATGCTTGAGTCTATTGGGGTAGCCTCTAGGTCAATCCATATGACATATTAAAGAGTCAACGCCCGTGCGTGCGCACACACACACAATCTGTCCCCATAGGCACTGCTCCCACCAGATAGCCGAGTAAGTTCAGAGTCTTTGCCTGTGGCAAGTCCTTCAAAAATGGCAGCGGTGGACCGCTTGACATACCTGTACATGATGACTAGATGTTGTTGCTAGGCATCAGAGCGACCCCAGATACAACAGAACCAAACACTGCCCGGCCTTTCGCCATCCTCACAAGCGTTCTAGATTGTGACCAGAATCCGCAGATAGAAAATAGGAGGGTTTGCCAGGCCTCTGTCATGTAGAAGTCACATCATTGGGTAGACACAAGACCAATGACCCTCTGCCTTGTGCCCCACCATTGAGTCTGAAGATTTGAGATAGCCACAAAATGTAACTGCCACCCCATCAGCTCCCTCCGCCACCCCCCACCCCCGGCTATCACTGTGCTTTCATGAGGAACATGAACCTGTCTCTGGTTCTCTCTTTCACAGGAGACCTTACTCTCCCCTCAGTACTTGCCCAAGGCTGGAAGTTCAAGCTCTTGGCCTTGAATTTTTGGAGACAAAGCTGCCAGAGTATTGGTATAGAATTCTCCAGAAGCATCTCTGTTTTTCTCACCTCAAGGTCCTCTGCCCTCCCAGAGGACATCTGGCAATGTCTGGAGATAGCTTGAGCTGCCACAACTGGGGGGCAATGCTCCTATCCTCTAGTGGGCTCAATAGGCCAGGGACTCCAACACTCAGAGCAGCTCTCGCCATCAGTACTCTCTGGTCTAGAAGATCCACAGTGCCCCCGACCAGCAACCTTGGTCTGGAACAAAAGGCTCTGTAAAGAATCTCTTCACAGAACGCAGGTCTATCTCTGGGGCGACCGGAACTCAATGTTTTCCTTTTTGTTTCTTTTATGTCTATGAATTAAATAAATAAAGAGAGAGCCAGAGCACACGCACGCTAGAGAGAGCAAGCAGAAGAAAAGCTGTTTCGGAAACCTACAATGTAAAATGCATTCAATACATTCTGATTCCAATGTGACTAGGAAGCAAAGTCTCCGAGGGCCTGGCCATCACCTCCTCCTTTCTTTCTTGTTGCACAGCAGCACATAGTGAAGATGGTATTGAACTTCCAAGAGGCCAGGCTAGGAGTGGGTGGAGGGAATGTCAGGAGCTGAGCAGGACTGTTGAAATGAATGTGCGACAAGCAACAAAGTTGGGTTTCTACATGTGGGGAGAGAAGCCTTTGCAACACAGACCAGTGAAACACCAGTGGCCTTGGCCACTGTCCACCAGGAAAGGCCAGTTGATGAGGGCTTGTTTTGCTTTTGATAAACTCTGACTGTGTTACCCTCTCCTCGCCTCCTCTTTCAGTACAACAACTCAAACTCACTGTTTGAAGAGCCTTGTCTTTCTCCCTCAGAAAGGCTGGGGGCTCCAAACTGCTGACCTTGCGGTTTGCAGCTCAATGTGTCGCCCGTTATGCCATCAGGATTGAACAAAAGAGAGACCAACAAGATTTCTTGGAGGTTGCTCAGACTTTCCTTCAAAAGAGGAAGGTGATTAAGTGTTGGGGAAACAGAGCGTGCACATTAAGGGTTGTCTTGCAGAGAAACATGAACTAAACTGAGATCGCCCTTAAATCAACCCAGAGTTGAAAGGGAGAGTCCTGGCTTGGGCAACAGGTAACACTCAGCGTTAGCTAACTGAAAGGTTAGAGGGCCAATTCTACCCAAAGGCCCTGCAGAAGAAAGGCCTGGCGGTCTGCCTCCGGGAAAAAATCCGCCATTGCAGACCTTAAGGCAGTTCATTTTCCCATTCATCGGGAAGGACGTTGGTGCCGAGGGAGAAGAACAGCCTAATTGGCTGGTGTTTGAGAAGGCTGAGGTATGAGGCCTCAGGCCTGGCAACTGTGAATGTCAACTACCGGGGGGTGCACAGGCTCCCTGGGCACTGCCTCTCTCTGCAGAAAGAAGGCACAGGCAGATTTCCACAGGGATTGTCTGGAGGAGCCCAGAGAAGTTGGTGTCTTGCAGCGTCCAGAGTGATTTGGGAAGAGAAAGCGTGCCTCTGGACTCAGCACCATGATTGCTGCCACTGCCCTAGGTTCCGGAACCAGGAAACGTGCCTGTGTGCGCGAAGGGATGGTTTCTCTTGGCGAACAAACAACTAACAAAGACAAAAAAAAAAAAGGAAATAAGACAGCCCTGTGGACAGTTCTTGTCTGACACATACAAAGGTGCCATGGGTCAGAGCCAACTGGATGGCCAGGGGGTGGTGCTGGTGGTGGGAATTTCAGTGAATGGGTCACAGCACCACCAAGAAGGCGTCATTAATCCCTGGCTGAACAACAATGCCTTTAGATTCCAAGGGCTCAGTTGTCTTTCTCATTTGGAAACTGTACCCAGGTTTGCTTAGTTTGTGTTTGTCCTCCTTTTCCTCCAACCTTGCTGGGGGGAGGGGCACGGGGGGGAGGGAGTGGGGTGGGGTGCTTCTCCGCCCCTTCCTCCCGGTCCCCCTCTGATCACCTCCTTGGCAGGTTCCTCTGGTAATGCGACCCCCTCTCCCGATGATAAGTTATCTTCAGGACACTCAGTACAGAGTCATAATCATAATGATATGTATCTATGCTTCGTGAGCTGCCTCCCCCAAGCAGCCCTTCAGGCTTCACTTGGGCAACGAATGGGTGAAACAGGCCACTCCCTTGGTCTTTATTTCCTATTATGCCATTGGTCACTCCTTTATTGGGTCAGACTCTTTGAGGCTGAGCTCTTCCTCACCTTGGCCAGGACCACCAGCGTTTATCAGGGTCCCTAACTAACTGCCGTCGAGTCGATTTCTACTCAAGGCCATACGTGCTCGCGTGGAGCTGTGTTCCACAGGGTTGTTCCACGCCTGCTCACAGGAAGCCACTGGCCAGCCTTCTCTTCCCAGGCAGTCTTTCCACGGTTGACTGTGTTAACCACTGACACCACCGGGGACTCTAGAAAGACATTCCATGGCCTTTCTTCCTCACCTGTTCCCCTCTGCCACTCATCAGCTTTCCTAAATTGTCACCTCTGCCATATTGCTCCAGGGCTAAAGTCAATCGCGAGTTGAAATCTTTGTGTCCAAGTGCCAAACGTCCCCTATGAAGAAAACCCCTTCACCTAGCTAATCTCATCTCTCCTCATTCTACCTAGGTGCCTCTCGCCCCTAAATGCCCTTCCCCTTCTCCCACCCTTTCTGGAAGTCTGGTCCCAGCACAAGTCTCATCTCTGGGCGGGAAGGTCTGCTCCACCTTTTCTCTGACCTTACCTGCACTCATGCTCTACCGACCCCTGCCTTGACCGGACTGCTCCTGCACTTTTTCTATGGCCTTCAGAGCTCAACTGGTAGCAGGCCTGGAGAAGGCACTAAATGTTTGCTTTTGTGATAGAGAAAACCAAACAAGCTAACTGACCCCAAGACTCTGACCTCATGGCACTGCATGCAGATAGCCTCTCCAGCGAGGCAGAGAGGCAGGCAGGCAGGCCGGCTTACCTGGAACTGCTTCCCAGGCCACTTGACTGCACTAACCTGGTTCTCTCTGGCTGCCAAATGCCTACAGCAGCCCAAGGCCAGCTTCCAGCCTCATTCTTGATGCGCCCCCCCCATATTGAGGGGCCTTTCATCTACTCTTTCTCAGCACCCACTCTGTCAACTCCAGAGCCACTCACCCCAGGCGAGCAGACCAAACTGCGATGTGCTGTTAATGGGAACTCCCTACTGGACTCTGCAACACACGACACAATTCTCACTCTCACTGCCATGGAGTCGGTACTGGCTCACAGTGACTCTATGGGACAGGGTAGAAGGGCCCCTGTAACTCTTTACAGCTGTAGAAAAGCCTCGTCTTTCTCCCGAGCTGCAGCTGGTGGTTTGGAATTGCCAACCTTGCTGTTTGTAGCCCAACTCGTAACCACTCAGCCACCAAGGCTCAACTACACAATTAAGATCAAATAGCTCACTCTTAATTTTCTCCCCCCTCAACTATACAGATTCAATAGATTAAGTTAAATCAACTATGTTACTAAAGTTAAGTTCACCTGTTGGTTTTTCAGGTTTGGTTTGTTTTTAACTTCTAAAGATATAGCAACTAGAAGGTGTAGGAAGAGCCCTGGTGGCGTAGTGCTCATGTACTGGGCTGCTAGCTACAAGGTGGGCAATTTGAAACCACACCAGCTACTCCCTGGGAGAAAGAGCTTGCTACTCTAGTAAGGAGTTACAGTCTCAGAAACTCACGGAGGCTGTTCTACCTTGCCCTATAGGCTCACTATGAGTCAGTGGCAGGAGTTTTGGGTTTGAGAATATGTAGGGTTACCTCTATGGCTTGCATTCCTGGCCTGCCTTCTACATGGGAGCATTCAAAAGTGTGTGGGGAAATGCTATTATCTTTCATTTCATTTTCCCAGAAACCGTTTGGAAGCCTCCTCGTACAGCTCCTGCTCTCTAGCCTCTGCTCTGTGTTGTGCTGACAAGGATCCCTGGATTGCTGAACTGCAGCGTCGGCAGTTCAAACCCACCAGTCGCTCTACTGAGCTACCAGGGCTCCTGGCATCACTCACTCTGAATTGCCAAAAACAAACAAGCAAAAAACCCCAAATGTACCACCATCAAGTCAATTTTGACTCACAGTGTCCCTCTAGACCGTGTTACCCTGCAAAAGAACTGTTTCTCTTTCTAAAAGTAGGGTGCTCAGGGAGAGGATGAATCATTGGGAGCATAAGAAGCCCATGTCCCTTCCATTCTAGACAACAGGAGTCTGTATATCTCATTAATGGAATAATTGACACAATTAAATGAATTTTCCTCTGCTCTACGATCGCATGCCTAAATTTGATTTAATGATAATTAAGTTAAATTTCACCAGATGAAATTTCACTGAGTGAAAGGGATTTTTCTCAGCTCTCTTGGCCAACAGCTGCAGGCTTTTACTCTTGATTATATTTCAAAGTCGCAAAGTTAGGATGTCAATGGAATGACCTAATTTGCAATGAAAACAGTCATTTTCAGTTGACAGCTAGTGATCACCTGGGGGAGGGAGGTGGAGAGGGGAAGCAGCACCCGGCATCCCTTACACAGGCTTCTGAAAAAGAGTAGTGACCTGGCTAATCGTAGGCTGACCCTGAAGCTATGGTGATGAGGAAGGTGCTTCTGATGCTATGGTAACAATCAGATTACTGGAAGTAGCTGCCAACACTCTGCACCTCGGGAGGAATTGTTGCCACTTGTGCACATCGGATCTTCTCTGGGAGG